TAAGAAATGAGTCTTATATTTAGGACTAAAACCAACTCAACAATTAAGAGTATAATCATACTACCTCCGGTCCTTAACATAAGACTCTGTTTGACTTTTATTTTGATCATAAGTATAAGACCCCAATCCACTTTGTCTCTCATATTTACTCAATTTTTTTCTTCATAATAGTGCTTCTAATAATTATAGTTCTAATCAATACACTTGATTAGCAAAGATATCTTAGGAAAGACAACACTTATTTAGGACAAATAACTAACTCAACTTACTTTCTTAATCTCCTCAAATTAGTTAACTGGCTTTTATAATTAGGACCAGAAGTAGTACTATTTCACTACTTAACTAACAAGTCGATATAAAAAATAAGATGAATTAATTAGTTATAAAAAGTGTAAAACGAACTCTTAATATCCATGTATAATATTAGATTATGAGACTAAAGTATATATTTAATCTTCTAACTTTATGTAAAGTTTTTTTGTTCTTTAATTTTAAAAAGCATGATTTTAGTCCTCTAACTTTAAAATTGTGAACAAACAAAAATAATGATATTGAGATATTAAATTTTGATTAAACATTTTCAAATACTAATATATTAAGTTTAATTTTAAAAATATCAACAATTATTACAAAAAATGTTACTTAAGACTAGTACTTCGAGAGTTAAAAAATTTAAAAGATACTTTTTAAAATTAAGGAATCAAATTAAAACCTTATATAAAATTAAAAAACTAAATATATAATTTAACAAAAGAAAAAAAAAGAGTTGAGATGTTACATTTATGATTAAATTTTATTTTCTTAACTAGCTCTTATATTAAAATTATTAGAGCATGCTAAAAAAATTATTTTTTTAACTAGCCCTTAAACTCAATGATCATTCGCAATCTCCTTCCCCTTCTGTACATTGCTAGATAGAGCCCCACTTCCGCTTGACTCCATCGTATTGCTCCGTGCAACTGCACAATCAATATCAATTTATTAATAACAGTGGTACCAATCAATGCCAAAATTAACAACATGCTTGCAAAATTGGCTAAAACCATACGTAACTCTAAATTAGTTTTCCCTTATTAAATGTGAACCAGGATTGACAGCTGCCTATATAAAGCTGAACAAGAACTGTGCTCACTGAATACTCAATACATTTAAGAAAAGCTAAATTATATAAAACCTCCTTAAACTATGGATCAGTTGCATAAAATTTCTTGACGTTTTAAAGTTTTAACTTTTCTAACCTTTTTTTTTTTTTTTTAACACGAACACTTTACCGTTATCTTTTTAACAGAAATTGTCATATCATACTAATAGAAGACATGTGACACTTTATATGGCATCCTAACTAACTACATGGCATTTAATAATTGTATATACTCTTTCGGTTTTTAATATAAAAATTAATTAACTAATTTGAGTATATTAAGAATGTTAGTTAAATTAATTAGTGTAATTATATTTTTTTAAAATATCTTAACTAACTTTTTTAATTTTTTCTCTCTCTCCTACTTAATTATTGTTGAGGGAATGTCAAAAAGGTTAATTTAGAAAAAATTGATAAATAAATATGTGATATAGATCTTACATATAAAACCAATGTTAACTCTCAAATTAGATCCTATATTAAAGATAGAAGGAGTACTGATTATATATTTTTTGCATAAGGATTAATCTATCATTTTATCATTAAAATGAACGGAAAATTAGGGAGAAGGGCCTACAGGAAGTAATATTTATTGAGAAGGATTTTAAAAAGTGTAATTATTTAGGAGGACCAAATAATAAAATATAATTTTAAAAATACTAAATTACCCTTAACCAAATCTCCTATCTTTCCTCTAATCATTATTTTTCAATTTTAAATTAAATCCTTAATTTAATTTAATTATTAAATCTTCAATATTTCATACCGACACCTCTATTTCTCATCCCTCTCGTTTCTTATCATGGATCCACACCACTAGTACTTTTATTGCCTTATATCAACAGTTGTTAATGCACAGTTTGTGTCATTATAAGATCATTAATAATGATAGTAATATTGTACAGACTTTGCAAACTAAGGCAGCTAGTCGAATTACAACTGGATAATATTCGGAGATTAATTGGGATTCCTCAAGTTAATGTGACGTTGAATCATCGATGTGATTTGTTAATATTTTTGTTATTGTGATGTTGCTTTTTTTGTTATTTCAATTTTTAAACTTCATACTTAATGATTATTTGGTTTATATATATATATATTTTGGGTTTTCAATCAACAATTGAGCATACATGGAGTGAGGTTATAGATTCAAAATTTGAATTAAATATAAGGCTAAATGTATTTTAGTTGAACAATATTTAATTATTTATTGTTATCAGACCTGAAAACTAGGATAAAAAAATATGGATATAAAAGTAAAATAACAGTGCAAAAATATTTTTATTAATGAAAAATAGATACACTATGGGTTGTAAAGTTAATGGTTAGAGAAAATGTAGGAGATTTAGTTGGAGGTATTTTCAGTTTTCTCTATTTTCCATACAAATCGGACAAATTCAATTTTGCCTGCCTTAGATTTTTGAAAACTCTAACTATCCAATCTGAATTTTAGGGTTTTACAAACATTTTTTGAGTTTTGGGTTTATGTTAAAGTTCGGGTATTTATATATACATTTTTTAAAAGAATATCGCGGAATGTGAATTTTCACTTTTCTTTTTCATTATTTTCTACCTTTAACCCGGACCAATTGGCCAAATAACCACTGTTTTACTTTTAATGTGTCAAGTAGCGTCTTTTTCAGTCATACTTTTCCTCGTGTATGCTCTTTCGTTTTTTTGGAGCAAGTTTCCACAAATGACATGACTCTAAAGATGACGAAGAGATTGTCAGCCACACGGCCATGACTGAGTCGGATACAAAGGAAAAGTCACAACGCGGAACGCAGGGAGGGCGGGAGGCAATTTCGTCAAATGCCCTTTAAATCCATTATAATTATAACTAGCAGTAGCAAATAAAAATGTTGAGTCTGAAAAGTATATACTCTTTTTATTCTTAATATAAGACCTAATTATTAAGTTAATTTTGATCTTAAATATAATATCTATTTCTTATATTTATCAATTTTTCTTAAATTATTGCTATGGAAACTCTCTCAACCATAATTAAGTAAGTAACAGATGGAGGATATTAAGAAAGATGATTATAGTATTTTAATTAGAAAAAACATGTCATATTTCTTATAATTAACTAACTTACCTAACTTTCTTAATCTAATCAAATTAATGATACAGGTCTCTGGAGGACTATTAATTTAAAGTGCCACGCTGGCTAAATGCTTTTTTCCCTCTAAACAACACAACTGGTTGATGATGTGGAGAAAGACTCATATTTCTTCAATCAGACTCATAGCCTGACCAATTAATGATCCTTCCAGTCTTATTAATTGGCTCGCATGAAACCCGCAAGCATTCCATGTGTCGACAACGTAACATAGGGGTATTTTCTTTTATTCTCTTTTTGTTTCTCCCTATATTTTAAACTTGTCTAAGCAAGCATATGGCATTGAAGATGTTTATTATAAGTACGAGTATTATAAGGTAGTTGTTCTAACTTCTGATTGCTTGCCAGGCATTCCATATTTTAGGTTTGTTGATTACTACTCCTCCACTCTTGCTTATAAATAGTAGCATTGTTTTTACATTCCATGTGGTGAAATAGGGGACCAACCTCTAATGACAATAACAGAAACCTAACCATTGTAATTCTAATAAAGTCGTGAATTTTGTGTTATTAAGTGATAAATTATGAAAGCTCCGCCATTCTATGTGGAAGGTCTCAGTGATAAACTTGAAGTGAAATAGGATATGAAAAAAACTTGAAATATAACCACATGAAAGGCCCGGAAAACCTCTCTAAGAAAGCACGGTTTAAAAGACTTACGAAAAAGCTTAATATATTTATAACTTAAATATCCTTTTAAAAAAGTATAAGATGAACTTCATTTAGTTCACTCTGTACCTCATAATGAAGCTGACTAAGGAGATGACATTTTTCTTTTTTTTTTTTTGACCGGCAGACATTTTTCTTTTTTGCCTGACCAAACGGTATTGATTAGTATTCGATTATTGACGATGTGAATTAGGTGAAGACACGTCGCGAGAAAAAGGACAAATCCTAAAAAGGATCACCGGATGGGAAAAGGGTGTGAGTGAGCGACGACCTTGACTTGCCCTGTTCACATCTCTGCAATGGCCCACCCACGGGACCAAGAAAAGTACTCGCAGAGCTCAACCTCATGAAGAACAGTCGTAGGATGAACAACAAGGGGGTTAAACCAGACGACTGCCTTGACTTGCATACTAACAATAACTGCATCCCCTATGCTCTCGCATGCCTGTAGCTTGCTTCCATTGTAGCCAGAAGAAGGATCAGAATGAGGATACTGCTCTCTTGTTCCTTGCGTCTTCACATGTTTGCTTTTGTTCTCTTTTATGCTTTTTTAGTATGTCTTCCTCCGCCCTGCTTAGCCGGAGATAATTTGAAGAAGAACGAAAGCCTTCGTGAAGATGCCGGTGCCACCCTTGTGACAAAGGGGCAGCAGTTTGAATTGGGTTTCTTTTCCCCTGATGGAAGCAACAAATACCTAGGAATATGGTATCATGGGATAGAACCGCGAACTGTTGTCTGGGTGGCTAACAGAGACAACCCCATTCCTCAGTCAAGAATTGGAAATTTTCAACTTTCGCGAGATGGAAATCTCACTGTGTCTGATACAGACGGAAATCATTATTGGTCTTGCACGCCTGAACAAGTATCTTCTCACGCAAGCCTCACAGTGAGGCTTAGGGACTCTGGAAACTTAGTTCTAGCAGACGATCAATTACAGACCTACTGGCAAAGCTTCCAACACCCTACGGACACATTTTTGGTGGGCATGAAAATGGATGAAGATTTAGTCTTGAATTCTTGGAGAGCCTCTGATGATCCCGGCAGAGGTGATTACACATTTGTTGGTGGAAAAACAGGGGATAGCGACTATACAATCTGCGTCAACCAGACCCGAGTTCGCTGGGCAGGCGAAACAAGCCTAGATTTCGGCTCAGAAGGAAAGATACTTTCGCTGCTGGCAAACTTCACCCGAAGGCCTTCTACTTATAAAAAAAAAAACATGTCAACAGTGCCACATCCTTCTGATTTTAACCTTACAAGGGTAGTGATGAATCATACAGGATACGTACAATTTTGGCGCCGGGATGAGATCGGAGGATGGGTGATGGCATGGAAGGAGCCAGCTGACGAATGCAAGATACATAACTTCTGTGGAAACTTTGGCAGTTGCAATATGAATAATTCGCCATACTGTAGGTGTTTGCCTGGATTCGCTTCTAAGTCGCAAGGGGAGAATCAGGTTCCATCCTCTGAAGCTGGAGGTTGCTTCAGAAAAACAACATCATGCGGGCAAAACACGACAGCGTTCATAGACTTGAAGAACGTGAAAGTGAGAAAAGCAGACAAAGCAGTCTACGCAGCGAATCCAACAGAGTGCCAATCTAAGTGCCTTAATCCCAATGGGTGCCCCAATTGCACAGCTTATTCATATGATGCATCAACAAATTATAGTAGGACGTTCTTATCGTGTTCTATTTGGACCGCTGATTTGCCTACCCTTCAAGAGGAGATTGATACGGGTGTTAATCTTTCTATCCCGATAAGTACACTAGATATAGGTACATATACTTTCACTATCTCATCTCCTCAAATAAGATGCTTGCTCTACTTGATACTGTCTTAGATTGTCTAACATGAAACTGGTACAGAACCAACTCCAAGGACGTGCAAGCCTTGCGGTGTATTCACAATTCCTTATCCGCTGAGCACCGAACCAAGTTGTGGTGATCCCATTTACTCTCATTTTAAGTGCGACTCACCAACCGGGCTGCTTCATTTCACAGTGGGAGAAGAGAGTTATAGAGTTACTAACATTGATCCAGACGAGAGATCGTTCTCTATTCAAATCAAAGATTCGGATAATTGTGCTGCAAGCAGTCTAGGGCGTCCGCTCGATCCGCCATTTAGTTTGTCTCAACAGTGCGATGGTGGGGCAAAGACAATAAAGATTAATTGGGATCCTCCAGGTGAACCTCCCTGTACTAAGTCCACAGACTGCGAGCGCTGGTCTCATTCAACTTGCAAGGCAACCAGTAATGGAAATGGAAGATGCCTCTGCGATGAAAAATATCAATGGAATGGCCACAGTTTAAGCTGTACGCAAGGTAAACGTGCTAACACATTAATTGATTGCAACCCCCGGGGGGAGTTAAATGTCTGAACCTGGCGCCTGTCCAATTGTATTGGAGCCCTGAAACCGATTTGAATCGCAACTTCGATAGGATTTAACAAGTGAGAGAGAATTAACGTTGGCAGTCGGAGATTGATGAAAAGGATCATATCTATTGGAACAATATGAGGCCACACTTGCTTGTTGAAAATTGATACTTGAATTCTTTACCGACCAGTTAGAATAACCTTTCTGTTGTTATTAGTACTGAGATTCTTTCATATTTTATTATTCCTCAACTTAGTTTGAGCGAAATTGATTGATATGAACCCAGTAAGAACCCTGAGCTTCTCTATTCTACCTTTTTGAGCCAATAACAACCATTCAGATTAATTTACTGAGCATGGATCATGCCTAGACAAAACAAGAATAGCATAGGAATTTTACTCTTCGGTAAGCCTCAGCTCAGGGAGATTTGACTTCCAACTGAGGCTAAAAAATCTGCTGCACTTTTTTACCTTGATTTTACAAATATTGAACCTCTCATCGACTTTTATTTATAGAAGAAACAGTGAGCAAAAAGTGAATGATATGAATGACTAGATACTGTTGCCAAACAAAATATAGAAGAATGACTTCGTAATGTTCTTGTCAATCATCAATATATGCACGTGGAATAAGATATTGTCAGAAATTTAAGTACTGATCGTAGTTAGGGTAACTCTTCCATACTGAGATTGATGTCAAGCTTTAATATATGCTGATTATCTAACCCTCCAAGTTGCTCAAGAACAAATTATTGCTATTACTATCATCAGCATCAGTCCCCACAAGTAAAGTACACTTGATTCTACGATTTCGATGGCATTCCTTAATCCCGTCTAGAAGCTGACACATTTCCTTTGTCAATAGAGCCTCCAAGAAGAAACAGCTCTAGAGTTTTGATATTAGCGGTGACACTTTCAACCTTGATTTTCTTGGCCTGCATTATAACTTCTGCTTACATTTGGAGAAGAGTAGCCTCTAATCAAGGTAATACATTTTTTGCCTACAAACTTCGATGCATTCAACATGATCTGATGCTTATAGTGCCTGTGCTCACGTAATAAGTTTATGTTTGCGTCTATTATGCGTGTTTAGAAAAGGGAGAAAATCAAAGAACGAGAGATGTCCTACATGACAACGAGAGATATATCAAAGATTTCATAGACGCCGAGAGGACAGAGGAAAAGGACGGTGAAGGGATAGAGGTACCTTATATGGATTTTAATAGCATCCTTTTAGCCACGGATAACTTCTCAGATGTGAACAAGCTTGGACGTGGGGGTTATGGACCTGTGTACAAGGTGATTGATTCAGTTCCACTTTCTTCATTGATTTCTAAACTTTAGAGACATGCTATATGAAGAATTTTTATTGCAGGGCAAGCTTCAAGGAGGTCAAGATATTGCAGTAAAGAGGCTTTCAAGTGTTTCTTCACAAGGAATGAAGGAATTCAAGAATGAAGTTGTCTTGATATCCAAACTTCAACATCGGAACCTTGTTAGACTTTTGGGCTATTGCATTACAGGACAAGAAAAAATATTACTTTATGAATACATGCCAAACAAGAGCTTAGACACATTCTTATTTGGTAAGTTACAAAATGCCTAATTATCAATAATTTCAAGCTTGACACAGGTTTGGTGAATTTAATGTAAAAGGAAATGTTGATGCAGATCGTACACGAAGAGTGATTTTGGATTGGCCAATGCGTTTTGACATAATTTTAGGAGTTGCTAGAGGAATGTTATATCTTCATCAAGACTCTAGATTGAGAGTGATTCATAGAGATTTGAAAATTAGTAATATTCTTTTGGATGAGGAGATGCAACCAAAAATTTCAGATTTTGGACTTGCAAAAATATTTGGAGGCAAGGAAATTGAGGCCAACACTGAAAGAATAGTTGGAACTTAGTAAGTTTAATATGTCTCTTTTTTTAAATATTGATCTTAAACTATATTTACAACAAACATTATAATTTTGATTCTTTTTATTTTATAGTGGATACATGGCTCCAGAGTATGCATTGGATGGATTTTTCTCGATTAAATCAGATGTTTTCAGTTTTGGGGTTGTAATGCTTGAAATTATCAGTGGAAAAAAGAACACGGGATTCTTTCAATCCAAACAAACTTCCAGCCTTCTGGGTTATGTATGTTTCATCTTGTTCCTCTCTTGGCTTAATGTTCTTTTTGCAGTGCGGTGATGTCCTATTTATATGAATGCAGGCATGGAGGCTATGGACGGAGAATAACCTATTGGATTTAATGGATCGATCTTTGAATGAAAGTTGCAATGCAAATCAATTCATCAAGTGTGCACAAGTAAGTCTATTGTGTGTGCAAGATGAACCAGGAGACAGGCCCACCATGTCGCAAGTATTAATAATGCTTGAAAGTGAGACTGCAAGCCTTCCAACTCCAAAGCAACCGACCTTTTTTATGAGCAGTAGCAGGGGCCTTTCTAGCTCTGCTTCTTCTTCCAGTAGACCTGAAGGAATTCTTCCTACTGACAGTACCTATCAACAAGGTCGGTAATGAAGATTGGATTACATTGGATCCTGTCGGAAAACCAAAAACTAACTTGTCATTGAAATTCTAGCACGCTTGTGTGAAAGGCCATTCATTCTTAGAGGACCTAGATCAGCTGACATCTGGTATGAAAATACCATGCAAATATCAGTTAGGCATATGTTTGAAATCTGCTGGTGCGATTATTTGAAGATGAAATATGTTGATAGTTGAGGTACTGTGTAGTCTATGTGTTTGCTCCAAAAATCATTGGGCCAAACCCAACAGAGAGGAGAAGCGAGCACTATTAAACCGGATGGTACTGGAGGCCCATATATGTCCGATCTCTGTGGAAACTGAGATCTATATTGTGGGCAGCAGCTATGGAATTAAGTGGTCTTTTAGGGGGTATATGAGGGCGTAGAAATAGAATGATAGATTTAGACAAGTAGAAGAGGCCCTTGTAGCGCGTGTAGACTGTAGAGAGCTGAAAATAACCCGGACAATATCAATTTTGTTTGGGTTAGATTTTGGAAAACACTAGTTACCGATGAAATTTAGGGTTTTACAAACATGTTTGGGTTTTGGGTTTACGTTGAAGTCTGGGTTTGTGTGTGCGTGTATTTAGAAAAATATTGTGCAATATGAATTTATCGAGACTAGATGGTATTTTAGGTATTTTTACTTTCTTTTTTTTGTCATTATCTTCTACTTTTTACACAGACCAAGTCATATTTTTCTGATCAAACATCCTACTGTTTTTTCAAAAATGACCAAACAGTGATATTTTTCCTTTTAATTACTCGTCTTTTTTGAGTAAAGTCTCCACAAATTACATTCTATAAACCACATAGATTCTAGGAGCAAGATGATGACGTTTAAGATAAAGTAAGAGATTGTCAGGATGGCTTGCATTGAAAATAAAGAAATTAAAAACCAGAATTGGGATATAATGAAAACGCTTGTCATTAAGAGTACTAATCCAAGGAGAGTCACAAAAGGAATAGAAAGAAAGAGGTCAGAGAAAGCAGAAACATACACGGAGGTAGAGAAACACTTTCATCAGACGATCAAATACTTTTATTCCAAATACCCCAAAAAAAAAAAAACTTTTATTCCATCCCCACCCCTCACCCTCTATATCCTAACTTCTTCCGGTATACTCCCTAAGCCTGATATTAGGTTTGTTGATCCAATAGTTGCTTCCTTATGATCCCCATTCATACAATCATTACATCGATTCATGAGCGACTTTCAAATGATAATAAAATATAGGTATATATGTTTTGATTTGGAAAAAAAAATTATAAGACCAAATTAAAAATCGTCATAAATTATTAAAATGAATTAATTAACGAATAAAAATGATGAGTCTAAAAAGTATTCATTTAAATTTTAAAGTGCCACGCTGGTTGGTTACATAGTTTTTTTCCCACCAAAATAAGAGTGCAATACAGCCGGTTCATGGTGTGGATAAAGCCCCATAATTCTCCAATCACAATCATACTCTCCGCATTTAATGATCGTTCCCATCTTGTTAATTACTCCCTCCGTTCCTTATTATAAGAGACGAATAACCGAATTACGTTGATCAAGAAAGCAGTTAAAAGTAGTTAAGAACAATCAATGTGTAAAAAATATAATTTTTTTTCCAAAAATACCCTCATTAATAAGGAGAGAGAGTATGAGAGAGAACAATTAAATTGTTGAAAGAAAGAGAAGTGAGAGGGAGAGAGTGTGTGAATTGGAGACAATAAATATGGGTACAATAGGAAATCAACACAAAAAAGTAGAGACAACTTTTAAGTGTCTCTTATATATAGGAACATGCCATAAACACCAAATGTCTCTTATAATAAGGAACGGAGGGAGTAATTAATTGGCTGGTATGAAACCCGGAAGCATTTCATGTTTTCGAATGATACAATTTATTTTTGGTATTTCTTATTTTTTTATTAATATTAGCTTTTTTTTTTGCTTTTTGTTTTTTTTGGACTGCCTCCTACATATTTTGTGAATCAAGTTCTACTCAGGACAGCTTGACTCTCTCAATAATAGAGACCTGTTGTGTTTGACTGGGTCATTCACAAGTTTAAACGAGCTGCGGCTAACATGCGGTTAAAAGTGAATTGGTACGATTCTGTAAGCTATAAATATAAAAATGACAAGCTTGATAAATCAACCCATAAGTCGGACTAAATTTGTAGTTGATGGTGGCATATATTTAAGTGAGAGTTAATATGATTGTATAAACTAAAAACGGAAAGGAATTTGACGTCAATGCGTGTTTCATTGCCGGTTTATCCATAATTAGCTGTCAAAGCAACAGGGTATATTTGCGCGCGCGCGCTTCACTTGCAGGTTAGTGTCGCAAGTTCTGACTTAAAGATTGTCTAAATCTTAAACATGTGATATGAAGGACAATGAATTGTCGCACGTGTTCATTGCACTCATACAAACAATAAACCGACATAGAAATACTAATGATGGCATTGTTTAAAATTAATTTGACTCCATCCTGCCGGTTCTCCGCGTTACGACTTGGAAATCCATGCGGTGCTGAACTGTAATGTCAATTTAGTGTCCTTTTCGATTCAAAAATAATTAATAAAAAAAGCTTCATCATAACTGCAGTTTGATGAAAACCTGCGCAATAAATTTTAAATTACTCCTCCGGTCTTTAATATAGGACTCAATTTGAGTTGGTTTTGGTCCTAAATATAAGACCCATTTCTCATATTTATTAATTTTCTCTAAATTACCCTTATGGATACTCCCTCAATCATAATCAAGTAGAAAAGGAAGAGAGGGTATTAAGAAAGATGATAATGGTATTTTAAGAAAAACGTGTCACATTTCTTATAATTAACTAACTTACCTAACTTCCTTAATCTAATCAAATTAATTAAATGGATTTTATATTAAGGATCGGAGGAGTATTGTTTTTATATGGAAGAATTCTAAAAAAAATATCTTTGAATTTTAAAATTCTAACTCAGTCTTGTTTACTACACATTAATAATAATTGATAATATTTGAAAGTTAAATGACAACATATTTTTTACTCATTTCTGATTTGGGGTTTTGAAATTTTAAAAACTAACATATGCTACCCGTGCATAGCACGGAGAGATTAACCTTCCCAAAATTAATATGACCGCCATAATTCATTTGGAATATTAATTAATTGACACATTAAGGTATATATTAGAAGATAATATATTCATAAATGGAAAATGTTGAAAATTTTTTTTGTCTAAATAACGATAAGTTCACGTCTTGCAAAATAATCACAGAGATCTATATTTTCAAAATAAACGATTAGTTATTAATATCCCTCTTTAATTAAAAAGAAAAATTGATTATTTTACTCTACTTAAGTAGTCCTTCATCTTTTATGATTATTTTTTAAAACAAAAAGCCATATAAGTAATTTTATAGTGCTTAAAAATTGCATATATAACTAAAACCTTAAAAAAAATATTTTAATAAAACATTTTAAATTACAAGCATAAGTAACATTTAAATAAATATTTTTTTATTTTCAGTTCTTATAATTTACGTTAGTTGTATTTATTTAAGCAATACCGGATCAATGTCAAGACGTAAACTGTAACACTTAATATTAAATATTCCTCGTGACAAAAATATTTTCAAATCTTAACATAAATAATTTTATGTTTAATTGAAGAGGCGTATCCTAATAATTTAAGTATTTAACAACATTTAAAAATTTCTAATTAAGTCCCATATCCTCATTAGGAATTTGTTAAGGGTATGTTTGGATCTCCGTTTTGAGATCCAAACGTGCCTTGGAAATTGTAATAAGCCAGTTAGGGGCGTTTTGAGCTAAACTCATTGTTTGGATAGGTAGCTTTTCAACCTGACTTCTGAAAAAAAGCTTCTTATTTCTCAACGCTCCCAGAAGCAACTTTTCCACCGTTTCAAATGCATATTACCGTTATTAATGAATATTAATTTCTCTCACCTATCTACCGAACCTAGGTGCCTCTCTCAAAGCTTCACCATTCCAACCTCAGAGCTCTACCGGACCCAACGCAAAACACTCTGATCCCTCACTCTCGGCACTCGCCTATCTCTACCCGACGGAGTTGAGAAGGCGTGCGTAGCATTCGGTCGTGTTTCAAGTCCCTCACTCTTGGCACTCTCTCTTCGGTGCTCTTACCGGCATCTCCGTCCATCGGTCTTGGCTGCGTCTCCATCCGTCGGTCTCTCTGGCGCCTCTGTCAGTGGGTGTTGACGGCTCTGCTCCCTGGGTGTGGCTGCGTCTCCATCTGTCGCTCTCTCTGCTGTCTCTGTCTGATTCCCGTGTCGACGGCTTTGCTCCCCCTCCATCAAAACAGATCTGGGTGTGGCTGCGTCTCCATCCGTCGCTCTCTCTGCCGTCTCTGTCTGTGGGTGTCGACGGCTTTGCTCCCTCCTCCGCTGAAGGTTGTTCGTGCCATCGCTGGTGTGTTTTTCTTCTCTTCCCTGTTCGGCTCTCAGCTCCCTCCACCACTGAAGGCTTCATTTTTTCTTCCTTCTCTGATTGTTGATTGTAGATGCTATTTGAATATGTGCACTCCGAGCTGTTACTCCTTCTTCGGCTGAATCGGTTTGTGTGTGTATATGTGTGAATTTGAACTGAATGGCTTTAATTAATGGTGTATGGCTGTAATTATGGACGTGTGAATGCCGTTTTGATCGAAGCATATGGGTTTTTTCGCTCCTCGGAGAATTTCATTTTGTTGACCGAAGCATATCAGTGATGGGAAGATGGGGACGAATGTGAAATGAATGTGAAATGAATGAATGAATTAAACTGAGTCAAGGGTAGATGGAGACGAATGAATGTGTGAAGCAAGGGGGAAAAAGAAATTATACATTTGTTGAAATTGCCTTGGTTGTCTGCATTGAACAATAGTTTGGCTTGAATTTTGTTAGATATTATGTTATACTGCGTGGTTGGAATTTTTGAGTTAAAGGAAAAGAGTATTTTTGGTGCTATGGGCTTCATATATCATGATTGAGAATGGGTGGTGTAATTGTGTGCTGAATCCAAATATTGATAAGTTCCTATTTTTCTGCATGTTTGTAATGTAAGGCAGAGCTTGAATTAATTCACTTTTTGTAATTTGATTTACATGTATTGTGGGTCTATACTGTTTGATTATACTGCTTGATTCTTGACTAATTGTGGGTTTGATGTATATGTAATTTCAACAAGAACTATGAGTAACGATAAAGGCAAAGCACATTGGGATGTGAGCACCACAGGTGTATTTCTGAAAATATGTGTTGATCAAATTTATAACAAGCTTCGTCAAGGATCTTCGTTGACAAAACCAGGTTGGGACAATATTCATAGAGAATTCAATGAAAAGACAGGGAGAGGATATGAAAAGAAACAGCTGAAAAATAGATTAGATAATTTGAGGAAAGAGTGGAAGACATTTGATAAACTAATTGCTAAGGAGACCGGCATAGGGTGGGACCCTGAAAGGAACACGGTGGTGGCATCTGGTGAGTGGTGGGAGAGGAAATTACGGGTATGAAGTAGCTTATGTTAATTTATAAGTAGTATTATACTTTTGGAATCAATTTAATTATAATTTACTTTTGACTTTGCAGGAAAATCCAGCATATGAAAAGTTTAGGCACTATGGGTTAAGGTTTCGCACTGAATTGGAAACTATATTCAAGGACACTATGGCATCAGGAGATGATATGCGGGCACCATCTTGGACCGAGCCTGCACCACAGAGGGGTGATCAGCCAAATGACTACCAACCAACAATGGATTGGCAAGAAGGTTCAGGGGATAATGAAGAAGACATTGGACGCTGTGCAGGAGTTTCGGACTTTTTGGACGGCATCAATTTAACTGCAAACACATCGAACACTGCATCCACTGTACCTAGTGCTTCAGGGAGTCAAGGGAAGAGGAAGAGAGGTGAAGGGTTGGACAAGTACAAGAAGCAAAAGATGCTAGCGACAAGAAGAATAGCAGATTCAGTAAGTTCAATTGAGAAGGCTTCAATTAGTACAGCAGAGGCAATAAACAAAATCTGCAACAGTGATAACACTACTGAGCTTACTGCTGATCTATTGAGTATGCTTGAAATAGTCAGTGACTTACAACTTTGTGTGACATGTTGTAATCTGCTGGCTAACAAGACATTCAGGGACATATATGCTGGTTTGAGAGAAAATCAGGAGGTATTAGTAGCTTGGTTGAAGCACAATGCTGCGAACCCCCCGCCATATGCTGCACCGAAGAATCCTTGAGTTGTGCCTAGTGACTTGTTATGATTTCTGTTTATCTATCATAATGTATTTGGTTATTGTGTGTCATGACGATGTGTTTGATGGTTGTGTTTAATGACTATGTGTAATGTTGTGTTTTATGATTATGTTTAATGTTGTGTTTCATGACTATGTATAATTATTATGTTATAGTTTAATAGCTATTTATCACTTATCTTTTCTCTCTCTCTCTCTCTTTTGTGAAAATGTTACTCACATTTAGTATTTAACTACTCACAGGTAACATAATCCATGTCTGATTCAACGGCGGGTTGGGGCGAGGGTTGGGGCGAGGGTTGGGATGAGGGTTGGGACGATGAATGGTCTCAATTACTTCCTGCTTTACATGAACACACAACACAGGTATCATAGCTAAGTGTGTTAATGGGTCAGTATGTGACACCTTTTCTATGCAAACAGCCATGTAGAACTAGTGAACAAACGGGTTATTTATGGGTTCAAGAACTTTTGCATGGGCATGAAGGACGGTCTAAGGAAATGTTTTGAATGGAAACAGAGACATTCCATCGGTTATGTTCTAAATTGGTTGAACATGGGTTGCAAAATTCTAAGTACATAGGTATCCATGAATCTGTTGCGATGTTCTTGAATACAATTACGCATGGTCAGTGTAATAGGATGATTCAAGAAAGGTTTCAGCATTCAGGAGAAACTATTAGTCGGCATTTTCATAGAGTGTTGGATGCTTGTCTCAATTTATCTCGAGAAAATATCAAGCCCACTGATCCTACATTCTCCTATTGCCACCCAAAAATAGCAAATGATCCACGATACTTCCCATTTTTTAAGGATGCAATTGGCACAATTGATGGCACCCACATAAAATGTCAGGTTAGTCAAGCTAGGCAAGACAAATATTTTGGGAGGAAGGGATTTCCGAGTCAGAATGTCATGGCCGTATGCGATTGGGATATGTGCTTCACGTTTGTGTTGGCGGGCTGGGAAGGTAGTGCACATGATGCTCGTGTCTTTCAATCTGCTATTTCAACTCCATCCATGAATTTCCCTCATCCACCTGAAGGTATATTTCTGTAAATTTCAAATCAATTATTTTAAAATTAAGCTTCAATTGTATTATTTTTACCTCAACATAATTGAATCATGATTTTCTAGGCAAATTTTATTTGGTTGATGCTGGCTATTCATCACAAGTGGGATATCTTGGCCCGTACAGACGTGAGCACTATCACCTCCCAAACTTTAATCGTCAGCCAGGATTTAGAAATGAGAATGAGGTCTTCAATTATTATCATTCAAGTTTGAGATGCACTATTGAAAGAATTTTTAGGGTTTGGAAGAATAGGTTTGCAATCTTAAGAGACATGCCCAGATTCAAGTTTCAAGCACAGGTCCGCATAGTTTGTGCAACAATGGCTGTCCATAATTTTATCAGGCAAAGTTCTCCAACTGATGACCGCTTTATACAAGCTGAGCGTGGAAGTATAATAGATGAAGACAATAATCATCCAGCTGGTGAGGCATCCTCGTCAAGTTTAACATCTGCCGTACAAATGAATCGTGTTCGTGACTCAATTAGAGACCAAATTGTGGAAAGTTTACGATCTAATTAGTTATGTGATTTTATTTACTTTAATTAGAGACCAAATGAATTTTAATTTAATTTATGTTTATGTTTGTCCATTATATATATTTAATTAAGTACGATCTAATTACTTATATAATTTTATTTACTCTAATTAGATACGAAATGAATTTTAATTTATGTTCATGTTTATCCATTATATATATTTAATTAATTATCTAAAATGTGTTTTTAAATTTGTCTTGGTAACAAATATTTTTATCTTATAATCTCACAAATAAACTATTTTTATTTTATCATAATAATTTTAGATATTTTTTAACAATTATCACATTAAAAATATCAAACACTACTATTTAATAAAGTATATGTCCTTTTTAGTTATTTTACAACTGAACTAACTTTTTTATTCATCCAAACAACTTTTAACTTTTTCAACTGACTTTTTAAAAGCACCTATCCAAACATACCATAATTGACTTTTACTCTAACTTCAGTTACAAAAATCAGTTGAACTAGAAGTCAGTTTTGTCTAACGCCAATCCAAACATACCCTAAAAGTATAAACTTTAGTATGAATTAAAGTATTTTAACTGGATTTTATTGAAATTTTTACTAAAATATTTTGCATTTCACTTTAAAACAATTTGTTGCGCAATGACAATAATATTATCAGATACAATTACTTTATTGTGTTAGATTTACCTTTTAACTTCAGACAAATGAGACAAAAGAACAATAGAATTGTGATAAGTTACTTAACCATTTGTACTCTACAAAAGTAATTATTTGAAAATAAAAAAATTATTAGAATTATAAACTAAATCGCGATTTCAACCCAATATATTTAATATCTTTGTTTCAATCTTACTTAGGCATAATTTATTCCATTCACTATATATGTAATTTATTTTGGAATTAAATTTTACCAAATGATTGCAATTTAATGCAAAAGTTCAGCATTTATCTTCCTTATTGTCAATTACCTTTTGTTTTGTCAATTATCAAGAATATGACATCTTGATCTCTACATACCAAAATCCTACATTAAAATTTGGTAATACTAATGTATATTCGATGAAGGCCAAAGTTAATGAGACAAAAGAAATCCTTGTGTGCAGACAATATCCTATTACTGAAGATTTTTCTTTAAAATGCTTCACAACAAAAGTAAACTTGACATTGTGAAAGACAGCCGTAGCAAATCTTGATTTTCGAATATTCATATTGAATCTGATAATATTTTCTTCCCCCTTCTATATGCAGCAGTATATAATATTTGGATTGACTAATATTTTTATATAACATCTATTTTCATTGGTAGAGACAAACCACCCAATACCTTACAGTTTCCATTTGTGGAGCCTCTTTCAGCATCTCCTCCCTCAATATATGCTAGCTCAGATTGCCACTATATCCACCCTTCAAAGGCTTAACTTCACTATGGTTAGCAGCCAAAAGTAAACTCTTATAAAACGCAAGATATTATAAAGTATAAGATATTTTAAGTTTGTAACTGAAAAGGTTTCATTTTATTTTCTACAATGAGCACAATAGAGAGAAAAACAAATCACCATTAAAACATCAAGAGAATCAAGTTGTCAAGAACAAAATCAAAGAGTTTTAAGTCATGGAACACTCAACAATCAACTTAAATATGGATACAGATAAAGTGAAAAGAGAATCACTTCATCCTAATACTTTGTTCCATTCCCAAATCTTAGGTATCAAAGACTGTATAAGCAGAAGAGATAACCAAGTGTGTATCTTACATGAGGCAATGCTGTCACGTGGGGAGGCATAGCAAAATGTTAAACATCCTTATCAAAGATAGGGAAATGAGTCAAAGTAGCGTATTCGTAGCTGTACAAATTATGAAAGTGTTTTTAAAGTGAACGATACAGAGGAGAACTGTAATAGTGAAAGGGCCAGAACTGGGTCCATACATATTTTGACTCTTGGTATTGGTACTGTCGTAGTTCATAAACACTTTGGTGAACAGGACTCAACCTCAGCCCCTCTCCAAAGGACCTCCCTATGGATCATTATAAGAAATGCAATCATGATAATATCAATCATAAGGTTAAGTAAGGAAAACTTAATATTTAGAATACAAAATATAAAGCAATTGTGTCAATTTCATTTGCAAAGTGTAATGAGCAAGAAACAATAACAAACATGAACATAGTGGGGGAGCCCAAAGTTAATGCTGGATATATTTGCAATGTGACATATGATGAAGTATGATAAATTTCTATTAGACCCATACAAAAACTCTGATGAATTATAATGATAAATTATGCTATTTGACATGTTGAAAGAGATAAAGTATATTTGTCTATTAAATCACCTTGAGACAACAATAAAGGACACGATGTATGTGCCATAGAATCATGGTCTAAAAGATACTTGAATGATGAAAATAACTGAATGACTATAGTTTCTTAAAATTAATAAAGAATGAAATGCGTTACCTCATCAAACCACAATAAGAGATGGAAACCTATTAAACTATCACCCCATTAAACAATAGTGTTATCTTCTCTTCCTCCTCCTGCTTCTATGGCTATCAAGGATTTCTTAGGAGGAATGATCAGATTTTCACTGAAACACAAAAGTTCCCTTTAATCCAAGGCACAAGATGAGACCCTAGTGGAAGAAAAAGCAGTCATTAGCTTTGAAGTTTTTCATAGCCAAACAGAAATACCTTAAAATATTATCCCCAATCTCACTTGAGAAAACTTCATCCTCCCCAAACCAGGAAATTTCATTTGCCCTGATTTCAATGGTCAAAATTTCAAGCATATATATTTTTGAAAATGTAATTTTCTTATGAAATATTCATATGACATATAAGCTTACATAAAATTTGCTGTTAGAGTATAATTTCTATGAACATACAGGCTAATCAAAACATGGTGCAAAAGCATACTTTCTTTGGGAAAAACATCTTCAAAGACAGGAGAAGTCATTATAAATGTTTGCAAAACATTCATATTTGGGGCATCCTTTTAAAGACCCAAGTCTAAGAAAATGGTCTGAGCACATTTTCGTGACACATAAGAATTAAGCTCAGGTAAGTCTAAGCACATTTTAGCAGGATAACATTCTGGTCATCTGGTGAATTAATGCTCTGCAACTTCAAAATAGTATTGTTCCCATTAGCACGTCTCAGTATCAAGATTTCCCCGATTTGTCTGGACATGTATATTGAGAAAACACACACTCAAATAGAAACTAAGATTATAAGCATGCCATCCATTCATATGTTGATAACCACCACGGCGACAATTACGCACATGATTGATACATAAAACAAATATGTGTGTGCACGGGAACTTATTATAAAAAACCTTAAAGGTGGAAAAGGAGGGGTAAGTAACATTTGGCCGAGGTCAATAAATAATGAATGCAAATGGGAACAGGACATATGCAATGCCATTAAATGAAAGTCTCAAACGTTAGTGTTGGTACAAGTGAGGAGCAATGACTCAACGTTCTCACTATCAACAATATGATCCTCTCTTAACGCTAACTATACAAATAACACGGGATATTGTTAAATGATGACTCAAATCTGATATTCAAAACCCAATAATAAAGTATATCATTTTAAAAGTAAGAAATGCAATATTTTTTGTTTAAAATAAGGTTGAAATTCAATTCTGATTAACCTATTTGATGGAATATATATTTGAAAAGATAGAGTGTTATGATATTTAAATCGACCATAAACACTGTTAAAAAATTAAAATTATAAGTAAGTCAATCTAAAATAACTTTGAATGAGAACTTTCAAAAAAGAAATCTTTAGACTTAAAACCGTATCATTTTAATTTTTAATAATAAACTCCATACCTCACAATCAAACATGGGTACCATTTTTATTATTGAAATGGCCTGGTTCATGTCCTCTACCATGCGACCCCTGTTTAATCACATATGGAGAAGCACACAAGTTCATGTCTATCGAAGTTCTGCCTTAACATATAGGCATCACTTTAAAATGAAAGACAAATGGCAGCTTATATTTACCATTTGTCCCATTCCCAAATAAAGTGCATACAAACTTACATTAAAAGTTTGAAACGGAAATATTTTATTACGATTCCAGCAAACTACTTTTATAAGGAAGTCAAATGGTATCTGCCCTTTAGGCTTTGTCAAATCACCAAGTAAAACGCAGACACATTTACATGAAACGAAAATAATTTCCTGCTCAATTGACTACCATGAAAGGACGACTTTACCTCAATATATGTGCTTAAATCCCATTCGATTCTTTTGGCATCCTCTTCGCATGTGAGCTGAACATTACACATGATAACCCGAAAGAAAATAGCAACAAAATTTTCTACTATGCCCATCGAAGAGGATTTCCACTATTATTCCTGGCACCCAGCACGGCATGTTTAAGCCGACCTCCTACGCTTGGAATGCCAACAGAGAAAACAAACATAGAATTGTGAATCAACTTTATAGGACAAATACGTATAGACTAACTGTTTGTTATTGTGAAAAACTTAGTGTACACCAGTGAATGACAGAGCAGCTGCAAAAACGAAACTTTGCTCATAAACGATGGAATGAAAAGGGAAAAAAAAAAACATAATAAAGTGCAGCAGAAGCCCACACCTGACCGTACATAATACAATAAAATAATTCAAAGTTTAAACATGGTATGAAACACGTGTTACATATCACAAAGTCCCAGAAAATTGCCATAATAGTTGCCAAAATAAAGTCCGGTCATCCAGTCAATATAACAATAATAAAAAATAGTCCAAACTGAGAATTGATAACCCACTTGAAACTGGGCCTTAGTAGCCTCACAGACCTTCCAGTTCTTGTTACCAGGCCATTCCTGCCCGTTGAATTGCTGGAAACATAAACGCATCTCTTGCTGATGTGTAATCCACAAACGTGTAACCCAGATTCGATTGCTTCTTGTCATGCTCAAATTTCCTGAAAAATAAACATGCAGTCATAAGCCGTTAATATGTGCAAGATATAGAACTAATCTTAGATAGTAGGTATTGTGTTGCACTTGTAATCCATTGGCAGATAGACGAAATCATACCTGGAAAGAGAAGACGCCCGTTGAGAACTTCGATTTTGTCGGGAGTAGTGCTTGTCCAATATGGACAACAGATCTTTTAAACCTAACACTCCCCATGGAGCAGAGAAATATACTAGTCAGAAGGTGGGGGCCTTTTTTTTTTTTTTTTAGGGGGGGTCGTCTCTGAGTTTTAAGTATTGTGGCAAGAGCATGGTCAGAATCCTCATCGTGGCCGGGGCTGTTGCTGCTTCGATGCCTGTGTGATCACAATATCTCCACACCGTTCACACAGACTTGCATAAAAGATTATCAGCAATGGGGATCTACGAAATAAAACCTTGAAAGAAGAGAAGGGAAGGAGCAGAAGCAATAGTGAGAGAGAGATGGAAGAGATGAAAAGAGCAGAGAGCAGAGATGCCTTGCTGGATGCTTAAGATGGAAGCACTGATTCATGGGCGAGCATGAAAGAACACTGTGAATAAGAAGAAATCATAGAACGGTTTGTGGAGGAAGAATTTGAGGTGAGGATGAGGGAGATAGGAAGATTATAGTATCTGAGGCAGGTGATGGGAGAAGTACGAAAAGTCGAAAACGAGAGTTGCCGGCAGGAGGCTTGAGAATTTTGAAATTTGAATTTTGGATTAGTAGAGAGGTCATTGGAAAACAAATAGGCTGAATGTGAAGCCCAAGGTATGACAATAATTAAAATCAGCTCAAACAAAGCCGAGGCAAAGCTAAATTGGCTTGTGAACAGTAATGTGTCTGGAGCCAAAAATAAGTCATATTTGAGCCAGCTTGCCGGAAAGGATTTCTAAGATATATTGATGATGATTTTTTCTTTTTATATTCCAGAAGGTAAACAGGGGATGAAGTTCAAGTGACAATACTAGGAATCTAACCACTGTAAATTCTCTAAGTTATGAATTTTGTATTTTGAGTGATAAATTATGAAAGCTTTTTGCCGGAAGGTTTGTTGATTATTACTTTCCTGCATTTATTTACAAGTTATTTTTAATATATTTTACTAAAAAAATTAGAATCAAGAAAAACTTTAAATCCTGTTGATCATGAATTTTACTTCTGTTTAATACATATATATTAAACTTTGATATATGTATATTTACCCCAGCACCTCATAATCAAGCGATAACTGAGATGATTTTTTATTTTTTTTGGTCTTTTGTTCTCGACCAAAGATGAGATGGCTTACTGTTCACAAGTGGTGAATGGTGATCTTGATTAGTACTGACGCGAAAAAGATCACAAGAAAAGGACAAATCCTAAAAGCGATGCCCAGATGCGAGTGATCTTGATTAGTACTGTCTTGACTTGCATACCAGCAATTGCATTCTCTATGCTTCCACTGTAGCCAGAAGAAGGATCAGAATGAGGATACTGCTCTCTCGCCTCTTACGTCTTCACATGATTGCTTTTGTTCTGTTTTATGCTTTTTCAGTATGTCTTCCTCCGCCCTGCTTAGCCAGAGATACCCTGAAGATCGGGGGAAGGCTTCGTGACGGCGAAGGTGCCAATGCCACCCTTGTCACCACGGGAGATCAGTTTGAACTGGGTTTCTTTTCCCCTGCCGGAAGCCAAAACAGATACCTAGGAATATGGTATCATGGGATAGAACAGCAAACTGTTGTCTGGGTTGCTAACAGAGACAACCCCATTCCTCATTCAAGGACCGGAATTTTTCAACTTTCGCTAGATGGAAATCTCACCGTGTTAGATACAGAAGGAAATCCTTATTGGTCCTGCACGCCTGAACAAGTATCTTCTCTCGCAAACCTCACAGTGAGGCTTATGGATTCTGGGAACTTGATTCTGGCAGACGACCAATTACAAGCGACCTACTGGCAAAGCTTCCAACACCCTACGGACACATTTTTGGTGGGCATGAAAATGGATGAAGATGTAGTCTTGAAGTCTTGGAGAGCCTCTGATGATCCCGGCAGCGGTGATTACACATTTGCAGGTGGAAAAACAGGGGATAGCAACTATACAATCTACGTCGACCACACCCTAGTTCGCTGGGCAGGCGAAACACGCCTAGATTTCGGCTCAGAAGGAAAGATACTTTCGCTGCTGGCAAACTTCACCCGAAGGCCTTCTACTTATAAAAAACAAATGTCAACAGTTCCACATCCTTCTGATTTTAACCATACAAGGGTAGTGATGAATCATACAGGATACATAGAATTTTGGCGCCGGGATGAGATCGGAGGATGGGTGACGGTATGGAAGGAGCCAGGTGACCAATGCAAGATACATAACTTCTGTGGAAACTTTGGCAGTTGCAATATGAATAATTCGCCATACTGTAGATGTTTGCCTGGATTCGCTTCTAAGTCGCTGGGGGAGAATCAGGTTCCATCCTCTGAAGCTGGAGGTTGCTTCAGAAAAACAACATCATGCGGGCAAAACACGACAGCGTTCATAGACTTGAAGAACGTGAAAGTCAGAAAAGCAGACAAAGCAGTCTACGCAGCGAATCCAACAGAGTGCCAATCTAAGTGCCTTAATCTCAATGGGTGTCCCAATTGCACAGCTTATTCATATGATGCATCAACAAATTATGAGAGGACGTTCTTATCGTGTTCTATTTGGACCGCCGATTTGCCTACCCTTCAAGAGGAGATTGATACGGGTGTTAATCTTTCTGTCCCGATAAGTAAACTAGATATAGGTACATACACTTTCACTATCTCATCTCCTCAAATAAGATGCTTGCTTTACTTAATACTGTCTTAGATTGTCTAACATGAAACTGGCACAGAACCAACTCCAAGGACGTGCAAGCCTTGCGGTGTATTCACAATTCCTTATCCGCTGAGCACCAAACCAAGTTGTGGTGATCCCATTTACGTCAATTTCACATGCGACTCGTCAACCGGGCAGGTTAGTTTCGTCGTGGGACAAGAGAGTTATAGAGTTGCTAATATTGACCCAGACAAGAGATCGTTCTCCATTCAAATAAAAGATTCGGGTGATTGTGCTGCAAGCAGTCTAGGGCGTCGGCTCGATCCGCCATTTAGTGTGACTCAACAGTGCCACGGTGAGGCAAAGACAATAAAGATTAATTGGGATCCTCCAGGTGAACCTCCCTGTACTAATTCCACAGACTGCGAGGGCTGGTCTCATTCAACTTGCAAGGCAACCAGTAATAGAAATGGAAGATGCCTCTGCGATGAAAAATATCAATGGAATGGCCACAGTTTAAGCTGTACGCAAGGTAAACGTATTAGGTGTTAACACATTAATTGATTTCACCCCCCAACCCCCCCGACGTTAAATGTCTAAAGCTGGCGCCTGTCCAATTGTATTGGAGCCCTGAAACCGATTTGAATCGCAACTTCGATAGGATTTAACAAGTGAGAGAGAATTAACCTTGGGAGTAGGAGATTGATGAAAAGGATCATATCTATTGGAACAATATGAGGCCATATTTACTTGTTGAAAATTGATACTACCTCCAGTCCTAATTATAATAGCTAATTAACTAATTTGAGGAGATTAAAGAAATAAGTTAAGTTAGTTATTTGTAATAAATATATACTGTGTTTCCTAAAATATCCTTACTTACTAAGTTGATTGGCTAGAACTACTATTATTAGAAGGACCACTTTGAAAAAATATATATAAATATGAGAGACAAAGTGGATTAGGATCTTATAATTAGGACCAAAATAAAAGTCAAATAAGGTCTTATATTAAGGACCAGAGGTAGTACTTGAATTCTTTACCGACCAGTTAGAATGACCTTTCTGTTGTTGTCAGTACTCAGATTCTTTCATATTTTATTATTCCTCAACTTAGTTTGAGCGAAATTGATTGATATGAACTCAGTAAGAACCCTGAGCTTCTCTATTCTCTTTTTGAGCCGATAACAACCATTCAGATTAATTTACCGAGTATGGATCATGCCTAGACAAAACAAGAATAACTTGGGAATTGTACTCTTTGGTAAGCCTCAGCTCAGGGAGATTTGACTTCCATCTGAGGCTAAAGAATCTGCTGCACTTTTTTACCTTGATTTTACAAATATTGACCCTTTTATCGACTTTTATTTATAGAAGAAACAGTGAGCAAAAAGTGAATGATATGAATGACTAGATATTGTTGCCAAACAAAATATAGAAGAATGACTTCGTAATGTTCTTGTCAATCATCAATATATGCACGTGGAATAAGATATAGTCAGAAATTTAAGTACTGATCGTAGTTAGGGTAACTCTTCCATACTGAGATTGATGTCAAGCTTTAATATATGCTGATTATCTAACCCTCCAAGTTGCTCAAGAACAAATTATTGCTATTACTATCATCAGCATCAGTCCCCACAAGTAAAGTACACTTGATTCTACGATTTCAATGGCATTCCTTAATCCCGTCTAGAAGCTGACACATTTCCTTTGTCAATAGAGCCTCCAAGAAGAAACAGCTCTAGAGTTTTGATATTAGCGGTGACACTTTCAACCTTGATTTTCTTGGCCTGCATTATAACTTCTGCTTACATTTGGAGAAGAAGAGTAGCCTCAAATCAAGGTAATACGTTTTTTGCCTACAAACTTCGATGCATTCAACATGATCTGATGCTTATAGTGCCTGTGCTTATGTAATAAGTTTATGTTTGCGTCTATTATGCGTGTTTAGAAAAGGGAGAAAATCAAAGAATGAGAGATGTCCTACATGACAATGAGAGATGTATCAAAGATTTCATAGACGCCGAGAGGTTGGAGGAAAAGGACGCTGAAGGGATAGAGGTACCTTATATGGATTTTAATAGCATCCTATTAGCCACAGATAACTTCTCAGATGCGAACAAACTTGGACGTGGGGGTTATGGGCCTGTGTACAAGGTGATTGATTCAGTTCCACTTTCTTCATTGATTTCTAAACTTTAGAGACATGCTCTATGGAGAATTTTCGTTACAGGGCAAGTTTCAAGGAGGTCAAGATATTGCAGTCAAGAGGCTTTCAAGTGTTTCTTCACAAGGAATGAAGGAATTCAGGAATGAAGTTGTCTTGATATCCAAACTTCAACATCGAAACCTTGTTAGACTTTTGGGCTATTGCATTACAGGAGAAGAAAAAATATTACTTTATGAATACATGCCAAACAAGAGTTTAGACACATTCTTATTTGGTAAGTTACAAAATGCTTAATTATCAATAATTTCAATCTTGACATAGGTTTAGTGAATTTAATGTAAAAGGAAATGTTGATGCAGATCATACACACAGAGAGATTTTGGATTGGCCAATGCGTTTTGACATAATTTTAGGAATTACTAGAGGAATATTATATCTTCATCAAGACTCTAGATTGAGAGTGATTCATAGAGATTTGAAAACTAGTAATATTCTTTTGGATGAGGAGATGCAATCAAAAATTTCAGACTTTGGACTTGCAAAAATATTTGGAGGCAAGGAAACTGAGGCCAACACTGAGAGAGTAGTTGGAACTTAGTAAGTTTGATGTATCTCCCTTTTTGAATATTGATCTTCAACTATATTTATAACGAGCATTATAATTTTGTTTCCTTTTATTTTGTAGTGGATATATGGCTCCAGAGTATGCATTAGACGGATTTTTCTCAATTAAATCAGATGTTTTCAGTTTTGGGGTTGTAATGCTTGAAATTATCAGTGGAAAAAAGAACACGGGATTCTTTCAGTCCAAACAAATGTCCAGCCTTCTGGGTTATGTATGTTTCATCTTGTTCCTCCCTTGGCTTAATGTTCTTTTTGCAGTGTGGTGATTTCCTATTTATATGAATGCAGGCATGGAGGCTATGGACGGAGAATAACCTCTTGGATTTAATGGATCGATCTTTGAATGAAAGTTGCAATGCAAATCAATTCATCAAGTGTGCACAAGTAAGTCTATTGTGCGTGCAAGATGAACCAGGAGACAGGCCCACCATGTCGCAAGTATTAATAATGCTTGAAAGTGAGACTGCAAGCCTTCCAACTCCAAAGCAACCGACCTTTTTTATGAGCAGTAGCAGGGGCCTTTCTAGCTCTGCTTCTTCCAGTAAACCTGAAGGAATTCTTCCCACCGACAGTACCTATCAACAAGGTCGGTAGTGGAGATTGGATTATATTGGATCCTGTCGGAAAACCAACAACTAACTTCTTATTGAAACTCTAGTACGCTTGTATGAAAGGCCATTCATTCTTAGGGAACTTAGATCAGCTGACATCTGGTATGAAAATACCATACAAATATTAGTTAGGCATATATTTGAAATCTGTTGGTGCAATTATTTTTTTCTGCTAAAGTACAGGTATCCTCTTATTGGGGGCAATCCTATTCGAGGCACTGTCGGGCGCTAAATATGGGTACTTCTCCCAGCAGGGATTCAAACTTTGGTTCGTCACATTGTGACGGAATAGCTCCTTCCGCTAGACCCAACCCACTATTGGTTGTTGGCGCAATTATTTCAAGATGAAATACGTTGATATTTAGGTCCTATGTAGTCTATATGTTTGCTCCAAAAATAAGTTGGGCCAAGCCCAACAGAGAGGAGAAGCGAGCACTATAAACAAGATGGTACTAGAGACCCATATATGTACGATCTCTGTGGAAACTAAGATCTAGATTGAGGGTCGAAGCTGAATTAAATGGCTTTTGTGGGGTATATGAGGCTGTAGAAATAGAATGATAGGCCTATAAAAGTTGAATCCAGTGGAAGGGCTAATCCCGCACAATCTTGATAAATGAAGGTTCGAATCTCACTTGAGAGAGGTGTTCACATTTAGTACCTAACAATGTCTCGAACAGGATTACCTCCAATAGGAAGATACCTACACCTTAAAAAAAAAAAATAGAATAATAGATTTAAACAAACAGAAGAGGCCCTTGTAGGGTGTGTAGAGAGCTGAAAATAAGCGGAGGAAGAAAAAGAAATTGATATTCGAGTATTTGACAATTCAAAGGTGGCCTTTTCTATTAGCTTTGGACATTTTCTATATATATATATATGTGCATATATACATACATATATATATATTATAACATATAAACTGGACTACATCAATTTTGTTTGGTTTAGATTTTGCAAAACACTAATTACTGATGAAATTTAGGGTTTTAGAAACATTTTTGGGTTTTGGCCCTTTGGGTTTATGTTAAGTCTGAGTTTACGTGTGCTTCTATTTAGAAAAATATTGTATAATATGAATTTATTGAGACTAGATGGTATTTTAGGTATTTTCACTTTCTTTCTTTTCATTATCTTCTGCCTTTTACACAGACCAAGTAACATTTTTCTGATCAAACATCCCTATTGTTTTTCCAAAAATGACCATACATCTTTTTCATTCATATTTTTCCTTTTGATTTCTCTCTCTCTCTCTCTCTCTCTCTCTTTTGAGTAAAATCTTTGCAAATTATATTGTATAAATAGTATAGACACTATATTTGGTACGAGAGAAATGAAGGGAAAGGGAGGGGAGGGAAAATATTGATGAGCTCGTTTTAAAAAAATTGAAGAAGTTGGGTTATAAAATTTTGATAAGAAGAACATGTAAGATAAAAGAATAATTAAAATAAATCAAAAATTTTAACCCCACTTTTTTAATTTTTTAAAACGAGCTCATCAAAATTTTCATCCCCTCCCTTTCCCTCGTTTCCCTCAAACCAAACGAATAAGAGTAAGATGATGACTTTTAAAATAAAGTAAGAGATTGTCAGGATGGCTTGCATTGAAAATAAAAAATAAAAAAACAGAATTGGGATATAATGACAGGAAAACATTGGTCATTAATAGTATTAATCAAAGGTTAGGATGATACAAGGAGAGTCACAAAAGGGATAGAAAGAAAAAGGTCAGAGAAAGGAGAAACATACGAGGAGGGAGAGAAATAGTTTCACGAAATGATCAAATACTTTATTTCCTCCCCACCCCTCAACCTGTACTCCATTCGTCTTTAATTATAAGATCTTTTTAATCAAATTATGCAGTTTAATAAAACAGTTAAAATTAGTTAAAAACAGTTAATATGTAGCAAATATTATTATTTTTTCAAATATACCCATATATATAAATGGGTAAATGTGATAGAGTAATAATGAGATAAATAAATAAAAAGAATGTATTAAATATATTAAATTAAGGGTAAAATAGATAATAATATATTAAATGTTCAAATAAACTTAAAGAGGATTTTATAAAAAGAAACAGACCCTTTTAAAAAATTAGATTTTATAATAAGGAACGGAAGAGTATATCATAACTTCTTCCGGATACTCCTAAGCCTGATATTGGATTTGTTGATCCCATAGCTACTTCTTTATGATCCCCATTCATAAAATCATTAAATCGATTCATGACCACCTTTGAAATAATAATAAAATATAAGATCAGCTCCAAAAAACTGTTTTTTTTTTTACTGCCACGCTGGTTACATACTTTTTTCTTCCCACCAAAATAAATAAAAGTGCAATACAGCTGGTTGATGGCGTGGAGGAAAGCCCCATAATTCTCCAATCACAATCATACTCTCCCCATTTAATGATCGTTCCCATCTTATTAATTAATTAATTGGCTGGTATGAAACCCGGAAGCATTCATGTTTTCGAATGATACAATTTATTTTTAGTATTTCTTTTTTTTATTTATTAATATTAGTTTTTTTCGTTTTCTCTTTTTGGACTGGGTTCTCCTACATATTATGTAAATCAAGTTCTACTCAGTACTCAGTACAGTTTGACTCGCTCAATTGGGTGGGAAAAAAAAATGAGAGAACTATTTTGTTTAACTGAGTCATTCATAAGTTTGCAGTTTAAACGAGTTGCAGTTAACATAGGTGACACGATTTTATAAGCTATAAACATAAAAATGATAAGCTTGATAACTGAACTCATAAGTCCAACTAAGTTTGTAAATGATAGGGGTATACATTTAAGTGAGAGTTAATATGATCGTATAAACTGAAAACGGAAAGGAATTTGACATCAGTGCGTGTTTCATTGCAGGTTTATCGATAATTATCCGTCAAAGCAACGTGAAATATACATTCTTCCCTTGCAGGTTAGTGTCGGAAGTTCTGACTTAAGATTGTCTAAACCTTAAACACGTGATATGGAGGACAATGAACTGTCGCATGTGTTGATTGCACCCATACCAGCAATAAACCGACATAGAAATACTTATAATGGCATTGTTTAAAATTAATTTGACTTCTTCCTGCCGGCTCTGCGCGTAACGACTTGGAAACGTATGCGGTGCTGAACTGTAATATATGTCGAAGTAGAGTTAAATTAATGGAAGCTTGTCTGAATTAGTTGCTTCGGGACATGCAGTTTAAACTTTGGAGTCTCACAATGGTGTTATTTAAATAATTGTTGCAATAAAATAATATTTGGAGTCAAATTTCTTGCATACAATTCTTCTAATAATTCTGTATTTAATTTGGCACTAGGGGAAGGTGTTATTTTATATGTGAAATGGACAACCATTTCAAACTTTGAATCAATAAATTATAAAATATGGTGTTAATATAAATTAAATAAATAAATAATGCATTTGGTGTATTGCTCTCGTAGTAAAGTAACTCCTTTATATGGATAAGTTGGATTGTTCTATTCCCGCAGTGTCAGTTTAGTGTCCTTTTCGATTCAAAAATAATTAATCAAAAAAGCTTCATCATAACTGCAGTTTGATGAAAACCTGCGCAATAAATTTTAAATTATTGTTTTTATATGGAAGAATTTTAAAAAAAATATCTTTAAATTTTAAAATTCTAAATCAGTCTTATTTACTACACGTTAATAACAACTGATAATATTTGAAAGGTAAATGATAATATATTCTTTAGTCATTCTTGATTTGGGTTTTGAAATTTGAAAAGATTTTTTCTTTTTATATTCCAAAGGGTAAACAGGGGTTGAAGTTCAAGTGAAAATAAGCCATTGTAAATTCTCAACTTATGAATTTTGTATTTTGAGTGATAAATTGTGAAAGCTTCATCACTACATGTCGCAGGTCTCAGTAATAAATTCTTTGTTAAAACCGAGTGATATTTAAAAAAAAAAGAAAATAAAAAAAAGAACTTGCGAAGGGGCAAGACAAAGAACCCAAAAAGTCCTGTAAACAAGCACTGTTTGAAGAGTTAAGGAAAAAACTAAATATATTTTAAAGTGAAACACCGTTTAAAAAAAAATGAACTTCATTTAATTTACCCAGGACCTCATAATCAAGCTGATTACTGAGGTGATTTTTTCATTTCCGCGTGGCTAACTGATTCGTATTGACTATTTTTTTTTTTTTTGTTACAAGAGAGGGCAAAGCCCAACTAAGGAAAAAGAGAACTAAGTAGGAGGGGAAATGAATCCCATAGACTCTTTCTGCACAATTATCTGCAAATGAGCAGGACACGAATCCATAGTAGAAGATCTGGAAAGACCCTCTTTTGCTAAGGCATCAGCAATCTGGTTTTGTTGTCTTGAAATGGTTTGTAATTTTAATTCCCAAGGACAACGCATGAAGTTTTGGATCTGGAAGAAAAGGAGGCTGGCCCCTCTGTAGCGTTGTCTATCCTGAAGCATGTGGATAAGGTTCTTGGCATCAGATTCAAGAATTACTCTTCTCATTCCAAGATCCCAAGCTAGTTTCAAGCCTCTGTAAATTGCCCATTCTTCTGCTTCAAAGGGTTCACAGACTCCAATGTAATGAGTAAAACCAGCTATCCAGTTACCATTATGGTCTCGTATTATTCCACCACAGCCAGCCTTACTGTTTGATCTACTCATAGCTCCATCTACATTCAGCTTAACCCAACCCTCATCAGGCCTCTTCCAAACTGAGCTATCAGGATACGAGTTGTTTGCAGTATTTTCCTCTTGCATTTGAACGAATTTCTTCCATATCTGCATAATGACAGTAGCAGGCTCTAACGGTTTTAGGAAGTTTGTCTCGAATAAATGCTTATTTCTCCATTTCCATAGGAACCAAACAGTGACACCCCATATCTGACTCCAAGTCCCATCGTTAAAAAATCCCAGATCCTTTTTAAGGTTTAAAGCAAACCAGTCACACAAGCTAGCAGCAAAGAAGGAAGGTTTATACCTGGGGTGAAGAAGTTGGACCCACAAATTTGTTGCATACTCACAGTTCCTTAAAATGTGCAGGACGTCTTCTCGATCATTCTGGCACCAGGGGCAATTATCAGAAACTGGCGACCAAGAGCTTCTCCAAGCATTTGTAGGGAGTCTGTTGTTGAAGGCTATCCACATGAAAACTCTTACTCGTTCAGCGCCCTTCCACTTCCAGATCTCTTTGAACACAGTGCTGTAGGAATTTGATGGATTTTCTTCTAGCATATAATAAGCACTCTTCAAAGTGAAATTTCCACTATTTGTTGCCTTCCAAGTTAGAATATCTTCACCAGCTTCACCCATGGGGGGGAGCAAGGTAATCAATTTTTGAAATACATTACTTGGAATTATGGTGGATAGATTATTAAAATCCCAAGTACCGTGGGCAATAGAGCCGGGAATATGGGTTGGGGCCCGCGGGCCAGCCCGCCAACCCGCCATAAAAGAGCGGGTTAGGGTTGGCATTTGCCAACCCGTCAAAATGCGGGCTGCTCTAGCCCGCACCGCATAGCCCGCGGGCTGTGGCGGGCTAGCCCGCGGGTTGGCGGGTTGGCCCGCCTAACCCGCCACCTTTTTTTTAAAAAAAAATTTGTTTTCATATAAATAATATATTATTATATTTGAAATTTTTCTTCTATCATTTACATCTCAATTTTCATGTTACATAATACATATGTAAACAACAAATATTTTTTAAAAATAAGCATACCATATTTGTAGCAAAAATTTAATAACTACAATCAAATATAAGATAATATTTATTATAGAAAAAAAGTATTTTAGAAAAATATGGTGAATGAACTTTTAAAAAAGTTAGATAAATGCACTTCTAATTTATTAAGAGATAGTGTTTTGTATCAAACATGACATTTGTATAAAAAAATTATAAAATTCATCACTTGATAAGTTAATGTTGAATGTTAATCATGTAAAATATTTGTAATATATTGTTTTATATTTATATTGACTATTTTAAATGTGGTTAAAAATAATTTATACTTGTGATTACTTTTGAAATTTTAGATCACCATTTATAGTTTAAAAAATTAAATAAAAATAAGATTTAAAAATTGAGAATTAAAAAAAAAAAAAAGATGGCGGGCTGGCGGGCTGGCCCGCCAACCCGCTGTGACGGGTTAGGGTTGGGACTTTTCCAGCCCGCCAAAATGCGGGCTGCTCCAGCCCGCACCGCATAACCCGCGGGTTGTGGCGGGCTGGCCCGCAACCCGCGGGTTGGCCCGTATTCCCAGCTATAGTGGGCAACCCAATCAGCAACTCTACTATTTTCTTCTTCACTAGTTAGAGGCCTGAGACATAGATCTTTAATTTTTTTGTCCGAAAATAACCAGAAATCATTGAAGAAACTAGTAGAAAGTCCATTTCTGATATTCCACTTCATGCCTTGTTCCACTAAGTCCTTCTGCTGAGAGATAAATTTCCAAAGAGCAGAATCTGTGGGTTTTGAATCAAGTAAATTATCTTCGTTTTGTCTCATATATTTAGAGAAGAGAACTTCTGCCCATAAGCCTTTACTCCCAGTAATCAACTTCCAAGCAATTTTTGCACCGCAAGCTTGATTAAGAGAAGTTAATCTCTTAAAACCAAGACCTCCATAAGACTTAGGCAAGATCATTTGCTCCCACCCTATTGGGTGGAAGCCGTGGGATTTATGACTACTACCCCAAATGAAGTTCCTTTGCAGTCTTTCCACCTCTGAGCAAATGTTGGCAGGGATTTTTGACACTTGCATTGGATAAACTGGAATTGCAGAAATAACAGATTTTGCAAGTGTAATTCGACCAGCTAGAGAAAGAGTATTTTCTTTCCAAACAGCAAGTTTTGATTTAACCCTGTCAATAATATATCTGAAGGTATCTGTGGTTTTCCTCCCTCTGATGATTGGAAATCCCAGATACTTCCCTATGTCAGTGGAGATCCTCATACCGGTTAAGCCTTTGATTCTCCTTCTAGTAGCAGCATTGACTTTAGGTGAGAAAAAGATAGAAGATTTGCCTTTATTAACCTTTTCCCCTGATGCAGCACAGAATTGATCTAGGCATTCCATGATACGAGAGGCTTGGTCTTCAGTAGCAGTTCCGAAAAGCAAAAGGTCATCAGCAAACATGAGGTGAGAGATGGCTGGCCCTTCTCTAGTTATTAAAACTGGTTTCCACCTACCATCATTCACAGCATCACTTATGATATGTGAAAGCCTATCCATGCATAAGACAAAGAGAAGGGGGGATATTGGGTCCCCTTGGCGAAGGCCTCTCAAAGGAGTAAAAAAATTAGATTGTTCTCCATTCCACAGCACATTGTAGGAGACAGATTGCACACAACTCATAACTAAGGAGATGAAGTCAGGATCAAATCCAGCATCAATTAGCGTTTGCTGCAGAAATTCCCACCTGACACGGTCAAATGCTTTTTCAAGGTCAATTTTCAAGGCCATTAAGCCCTTTCTTCCTCTCGTTCTCTTCATAATTTGCATGATTTCCTGGCCCACAATTATATTTTCTTGGATGTTCCTGCCTTTGATGAAACTTGTTTGGTAAGGTGATATTAGATCATCCATTACAGCCCTCAGTCTACTAGCAATAATCTTGGTTATACACTTGTAATGAACAGTGCACAAGGAGATTGGTCTAAAATGACTAACCAATTCTGGTTTTTCAATCTTAGGAATAAGAGATATAAGAGTTTTATTTGCATCAGCCAAAACACTCTTTTTCTCAAAGGCCCTTTTGACAAAATCACATATGGCTTCACCAACAATATTCCAATTCGACTGGTAGAAAATTGGAGAAAAACCATCATATCCAGGAGCTTTATAAGGGCCCATCGAAAACATCGCAGACTTGATTTCCTCAATAGAAGGAGTAATACCCATACTGGACAGTCTTGTTTTATCCAATCTAGGGAAATTGGTGGAGGTACTTAGTAGAGGGGTGCCAGTGCCATCAGGTTGGTAAAGGCTTTGAAAATAATCTACTACCATCGCTCTTAGCTCCTCCTCATTTTCCGTCCAGGTTCCACTGCTGTTTCTTAGAGCTAAAACTCTATTTTTCCTTCTTCTGAAATTAGTTTTTAGATGATAAAAGCGGGTGTTTCTATCTCCCTTGGTTATCCAATCAGTGCGGGCTTTTTGGAACCATTTTAGCTCTTCCAATTTTAACACTTCGTCAAGCTGGTTTTGCAGAGTTAACTCCAAGTCATGGAGGAAATGAGAGTGCGTATAGCTAGAAGAATTTTGTATCCCTTTCAACCTATTCAAAATGGTCCTCTTTTTTTTCTCTACATACCCGAAAACATCTTTGTTCCAAATTGTTAGAGAGCTACGAAGCTTTTCTAAAATGTTATCCAGCTCGCCATAGTCAGACCAGTTATTAGCGAGGAATTGAGTAAAAGAGTCATGCGAAAGCCACATGGCTTCAAATCGGAAAGGTTTCAGTCTCTTATTGCAATTATGACCATATCTTAGATATAAGGCAATAGGATTATGATCTGAGAAAAGAGAACGAGGGAGTACCTTCAAACAAGATTCTGAAAAATTACTTAGAAATTGTGAATTGGCCAAGGCTCGATCAAGGCGTTCAAAGAGACGGGAGCAACCAGCTAGTTTCGGTCCTTTCCAAGTGAATTTAGAACCAATCGAACCCATATCCATTAAAGCGCAGCTGCGAATTCTGTCTTTGAACCAATTGATTCTCGATGTATTGATAGTAGCTCCTCCAATTCGTTCTGAAGGAGATAGTATATCATTAAAATCACCCAGAACCACCCAAGGCTTTGAAACATTGGCAGCGAGTTGTTGTAATTGATTCCAAAGAAGAGACCGATAATTGGAGTGGGGGACAGCATAAATACCAGTGACAAGAAAGGAGGGGTGCCCAGGAATTTCACACTCAAGATGAATAAATTGTCGGTTCTCTTCTAGGACAGTTATGCTATAAGGGCTTTTCCAAGCAGCAACTAAGCCTCCCGATCTCCCCTCGCTAGGAACAAAAGAGAAATTGTCAAAACCCAGAGCACGAAGACGGTTGAAACCAGTAGCTTTATCACATCTTGTTTCACCGAGAAAAATCAGTGAAGGTTTTGGGTCACTACAAACAGCTTTTAGATTTCTGAGGAGCCCACTTCCACAAGCTCCCCTTGCATTCCAATAAAGGATACTATCCATAAAAAAGATAGTAGATGAAATGGCTAAGGCACGGCCCAAATCAAAACCCAATAGGAAGTTGGGTTTCGGGCACCACTGTATTCTCACTACCGAAATTCTCATGGGTTGGAATTAGAGGGCTGTTCAAACCAGGCCCAATCCGTGTATCTCCTGGGTCCACTTCTTCAGGGTCCAACTCACCATCATTGAAGGTAGGGGAGGTTTGGACTTCCGTAAATTCATCAGTGTTTTCAGGTTCATTTCGTTCAGTGTCTTGCACCATATCTTGACACGTGTTCTCCTCATTGCAATTGTTCTCAGTGATTTCTTCCATTGGTAACATAGGGACGTCCTTACTCCTATAATCTCTTCTCAAAACATCACGCGCCCTTTTCTCGCTCTTACGTTTTTCCTCCGTTTTCTCTGCTATCTCCATGTCGTGTCCCGCCACTAAGGTGCCAGCTTGGAATCTTTCTTCTTGCACCTTTGTTATAGCACTACCACTCTTTCCACTGGTACGTCGTACAGACTTATTGCGTTGGATCAAGTGTTGCGGTTGTGACACTACCTGTGCCTCTGCAAAACGGATATCACCGTTATTTTCTGTCTCTTTTGTTTGTTCTTCCACGTCAGCTAGAACCCCAAAGCGAGAGCCTCCGTTCGCCGGACGGGAAGTTTCCCCCCTGTTTTCTTTTGCTTTCTTTTGTCTGCGAGATTTTTGCACTACTCTCCATTGTTCCTGAATGCTATCAACCTCCATCTGTTGATCTCCACCTCTGTCGCATGGGTTTTGGTTCTCATTAGCATCCTGGACATGCTCTGTTCTTCCCTTTTTAGATGGGCAGACCTCGCTTCTATGGCCATACCACCCGCATTCAGTGCACAACATATGAAGACCTTCATACTCCAGATGATAATCTTCATTATCTAGAGAGAATCCTGGCATTAGTTGTTTAGTCAAATCAACTAGAACGCAGATGCGGGCATAATGTCCTCTCAGTTGGCAAGATGTATTCAGATCTACTTTAATGGTTTCTCCTATTCTATTTCCAATAAAAGTCAAGGCTTCCTCGTCGTAGTATTCTAGAGGCACTTTGGGCATTCTCACCCAGACTGCCACCTTATCTATAGATGCTCTTGTAGGGCGAAAGTTTGGCTCCCATGGCCTAACTGTGAGATAGTGATCATATATCATCCAAGGCCCTCCTGTCAAGGCATTAAAGTAATCTTCTCTGTTTGATAGTTTTACCACGTAGAAACCGTAACCCACGTTGATGAGAGTAATGACACCCCTCTTAGCCCATAAGCTCTGTAGTCTGGTTAACAAAGCTTTGTATCCGATACTTCTGTCAAGGAGCTTCACGATAACAGCCTTCCTCCAAGCCCTGTATAGTTTTTTCTTCATTTTCCCAGAGAAAGAAAAAGTAGGAAAATTCCGGTTCAGATTCTCAATCATCTTGCAGATTGGCTCTGTTTTTCCTTTTGTTGAGTCTGGCGAGGAATCCTCAGATAAAGTATCATCCGACTCTACGCCATCTGTTTCCTCAATGTCATCATCGGAGCTGGCATTATGGCCATCTATACCTTTCAGTTTTTCTGCAAAAGTCGGTCCACCAGAGCTGTATTTATTCCCCTCAGCTCCAAGCTTTGGCCAATGGCCCCGCAGTAGGCTACTTCCAGCATCGTTAGTTCCATTTTTTATCTTCTTGGAACTCCGAAAGAGTAGGTCCTCTTCTTCTTGCGACGGAGGCACCGTCGTGCGCGTTTTCTCAGAGAGCACTAGGGTCATCGTTTTTAGCAGACTCTAGATTCGTATTGACTATTGATAGCGCGGATAAGATCAACAGTTTCAAGACAGATCCTGTCGGCCCAAAAAGAGGATGGGGCCCGGGCAGGGCGCTAGTGTGCGCCGACCTTGACTTCCCCTGTCAACCACCCACCGGCTCGATGTCCTCATTTCGTGCAAATGACTATGAAAAAAGTTATAAATTGGCATTTGGTATGCAATTGGTTAGCAGCTGTTCACATCTCTCAAGTGCCCCACCCACAGGAACAAGAAACATACTCGCAGAGCTCAACCCCGTGAACAACATAAAACTCAAACGTGGGTTGACCAATGAACGGGTAAACGAGGCGACTTTCTTGACTTCATGCTGGCAATTGCATCCTCTATGCTCTCGCATGCGTGCAGCTTGCTTCCATTGTAGCCAGAAGTAGATTCAGAATGAGCATAATCCTCTATGTTCTGTTTTATGCGTTCCTATTATGTCTTCCTCCGCCCTGCTTAGCCATGGATACTTTGAAGATCGGTGAAAGCCTTCATGACAGGGAAGATGCCGCTGCCACCCTTGTCACCACGGGAGAGCAGTTTGAACTTGGTTTCTTTTCCCCTGCTCGAAGCCAAAACAGATACCTTGGAATATGGTATCATGGGATAGAACCGCAAACTGTTGTCTGGGTTGCTAACAGAGACAACCCCATTCCTCATTCAAGAACTGGAATTTTCCAACTTTCGCTAGATGGAAATCTCACCGTGTTAGATACAGAAGGAAATCCTTATTGGTCTTACACGCCTGAACAAGTATCTTCTCTCGCAAACCTCACAGTGAGGCTTATGGATTCTGGGAACTTAATTCTGGCAGACGACCACTTACAAGCGACCTACTGGCAAAGCTTCCAACACCCTACGGACACATTTTTGGTGGGCATGAAAATGGATGAAGATTTAGTCTTGAATTCTTGGAGAGCCTCTGATGATCCCGGCAGCGGTAATTACACATTTGCAGGTGGAAAAACAGGGGATAGCAACTATACAATCTACGTCAACCAGAACCAAGTTCACTGGGCTGGTGAAACGCGCCAAGATTTCGGCTCAGAAGGGACAATGCTTTCGCTGTTGACAAACTTCACCCAAAGGCCTTCTACTTATAAAAACAAAAACATGTCAACAAATGCACTTCGTTCTGACTTTGAGCACACAAGGCTAGTGATGAATTATACAGGACGGGTAGAGCTTTGGCGCTGGGATCAGATCGAAGGAGGATGGGCGACTAGATGGAACAAGCCAGATAGCAAATGCAAGATACATAACGTCTGTGGGAACTTTGGCAGTTGCAATATTAATAGTTCGCCAATCTGTAGATGTTTGCCTGGATTCACTTCTAAGTCGCAGGGGGAGAACCAGGTTCCGTCCTCTGAATCTGGAGGGTGTTTCAGAAAACCAACATCATGCGGGCAAAACACGACAACATTCATACACTTGGAGAAGGTGAAAGTGAGAAAACCAGACAAAAAAGTCAACGCAGCGAACGAAACAGAGTGCCGATCTAAGTGCCTCAATGGGTGCCCCCCTTGCACCGCTTATTCATATGATGCGTCAACAAATGCCTATAGTAGGATGTCCATACCGTGCTCTATTTGGACTTCTGATTTGCCTACCCTCCAAGAAGAGATCGATGCGGGCTTTAATCTTTCTGTCCTGGTAAATAAACCAGATATAGGTACTTCAATTATTTTCACCATCTCATCTCTCCAAATAAGATGCTTGCTTTACTTAATCAATACTGTCTTAGATTGTCTAAAATGAAACTGGTACAGAACCAACTCCAAGAACCTGCAAACCTTGCGGCGTATTCACAATTCCTTATCCGCTAAGCACTGAAGCAAGTTGTGGTGATCCCATTTACTCTCATTTTAAGTGCGACTCGCCAACCGGGCAGGTTAGTTTCATTGTGGGAGAAGAGCCTTATAGAGTTACTAACATTGATCCAGACGAGAGATCGTTCTCTATTCAAATCAAAGATTCGGATAATTGTCCCGCAAGCAATCTCGAGCGTTGGCTTGATCCGTCATTTAGCGTGACTCAACAGTGCGATGATGTAGATGAAGCAAAGACACTAAAGATTAATTGGTCTGCTCCAGATGAACCTCCCTGTAATAACTCCGTAGACTGTGAGGGCTGGTCTCATTCAACTTGCAACGCAACCGGTAATGGAAATGGAAGATGCCTCTGCGATGAAAAATATAAATGGGATGGCCTCAATTTAAGCTGTACGCAAGGTAAACGAGTTAACACATTAATGATTAATTTACCCCCCACCCAAAAAAAAAAGTTCTTCTTGTTAGGGAGACAGGATGTCTAAGCCTGACACCTGTCCAATTGTATTGGAGCCCTGAAACCGATTTGAATCGCAACTTCAATAGGATTTAACAAGTGAGGAAAAATTAACATTGGGAGTAGGAGATTGATCAGAGGGATCATATATGTTGGAACAATATGAGGTGATAATTACTTGTCTTGTTGAAAATTGATGCTGGAATTCTTTATAGACTAATTGGAATGACCTTTGTTGTTATGAGAATTGAGATACTTTTATTTTTGATTATTCCTCAACTTAGTTTGAGCCAACTTGATTGATATGAACTCAGCAAAAATACTGAGTTTGACTATGCTACCTTTCTGAGCCACTAGCAACCATTCAGCTTAATTTACTGAATATAGACCACGCCTAGACGATACAAGAGTAACAGAGGAATTGTATTCTTATTTTAAGGCTCACTGTCACTGACAACCCATGGATATTTGATTTCCAACTGAGGCTGAAGAATCTATTGAACTTTTGTACTTTGATTTTACAAACATTGAACTTTTCATTTATTTTTATTTATAGAAGAAACAATAAGCAAAAAAATGAATGATAGGAATGATTAGATATTGTTGCCAAAGAAAATATAAAAGAATGACTTCATAATGTTCTTGTCAATCTTTAGTATACGCAATTGTAATAAAAAGAGACAGAAATTTAAGTACCATTAGCAAGCTGTAACTAAATGTAGTTAGGTTAACTTATTCGTAGTCAGATTGATGTCAAGCTTTAATATATACTGACTATCTAACACTTCAAAATGCTCAAGAACATGGCATTCCTAAACACACATATGAGTACACTTGATTCTACAATTTCAATGGCGTTCCTCAATCTAACGTGTAGAAGCTAACAAATTTCCTTTGTCAGCAGGGCCTCCAAGAGGAAAAGGCTCTAAAGTTTTAACGTTAGCGGTGACGTTTTCAAGCTTGATAGTCTTGGTCTGCATTATAACTTCTGCTTACATTTGGAGAAGAAAAGTGGCCTTTAAGCAAGGTAATGCATTTTTCGCTTACAAGCTTCTAAGCACTCAACACGATCAGACGCTTAAGATTATAACTGGACATTTTAAATTTCATCATGTTACAGTGCCCGTGTCCATTATGTTTATTTTTTCATCTATTATACGTGTTCAGAAAAGGGACAAAATCCAAGATCGACAGGGAGCCTACATGACAGTGAGAGATATATCAAAGATTTTATGGACGCTGACAGCTTAGTGGAGAAGGACAGAGAAGCAATAGAGGTACCTTATTTGGATTTTAGTAGCATCCTTTTAGCCACAGATAACTTCTCGGACGCTAACAAGCTCGGACGCGGGGGTTATGGGCCTGTCTACAAGGTGATTAATTCAGTTCCACTTTCTTCATTGATTTCTTTACTTTAGAGACGTGCTATATGAAGAATTTTTGTTACAGGGAAAGCTTCAAGGAGGTCAAGATATTGCAGTCAAGAGGCTTTCAAGTGTTTCTTCACAAGGAATGAAGGAATTCAAGAATGAAGTCGTCTTGATATCCAAACTTCAACATCGAAACCTTGTTAGACTTCGGGGCTATTGCATTACAGGAGAAGAAAAAATATTACTTTATGAATACATGCCAAACAAAAGCTTAGACACATTCTTATTCGGTACGTTACAAAATGCTTAATTATCAATAACTTCAAGCTTGACACAGGTTTGGTGAATTTAATGTAAAAGAAAATGTTGATGCAGATCGTACACAACGGGTGATTTTGGATTGGCCAATGCGTTTTGACATAATTTTAGGAGTTGTTAGGGGCATGTTATATCTTCATCAAGACTCTAGATTGAGAGTAATTCATAGAGATTTGAAAACTAGTAATATTCTTTTGGATGAGGAGATGCAACCAAAAATTTCAGACTTTGGACTTGCAAAAATATTTGGAGACAAGGATGTTGAGGCTAACACTGAGAGAGTAGTTGGAACATAGTAAGTTTGATATATCCACCTCATTGAATATTGCTCTTCAACCATGATTACAAGAAATATTATGATTTTGTTTCTTTTTATTTTGTAGTGGATATATGGCTCCAGAGTATGCATTGGATGGATATTTGTCTATTAAATCAGATGTTTTCAGTTTTGGGGTTATAATGCTTGAAATTATCAGTGGAAAGAAGAACACAGGATTCTTTCGATCCAAACAAACTTCTAGCCTTCTGGGTTATGTATGTTCCATCTTGTTCCTCCCTTGCCTTAATGTTCTTTTTGCAGCATGGTGATTTCTTGTTTATATGAATGACTATGTAGGCATGGAGGCTATGGACGGAGAATAACCTATTGGATTTAATGGATCGATCTTTGAATGAAAGTTGCAATGCAAATCAATTCATCAAGTGTGCACAAGTTAGTCTATTGTGTGTGCAAGATGAACCAGGAGACAGGCCTACCATGTCGCAAGTATTGATAATGCTTGAAAGTGAGACTGCGAGCCTTCCAACTCCAAAGCAACCGACCTTTTTTACGAACCGTGCCAGGGGCCTTTCTAGCTCTGCTTCTTCTTCCAGTAAACCTGAAGGAATTCTTCCAACTGACAGTAGCTATCAAGAAGGTCGGTAGCGTGAATGATGAGTTCGATGCGCATTGGATTGGGCCCTATTGGAAAACCAAAAAGCAACTTTTCATTGAACTTCTAGCACGTTTGCGTGCAAATGAAAGACCATTCATTCTTAAAGGGCTCATGACTTACTGGTCTTCAAAACACCAGTTATCTCTATTAGGTTCCTCATTTAATGTAATGCAATTTGTGATTATCTTGATTATTCTAAAAGTGAAACGCGGGAAGTACTTTGATGTAAGTGGTCGCTTTGATCGAATCCGACTAATATTCTAGTGAATCGGAATATGTAGGTGCTTTGATCCAAGTGTACAGACGCTAGAGAGTGGTATAAAATTTTGCAATAATAGAACCCAACTTGTTAGTTGTGCAGACTTGCATACTAAATGATCGAAGTGGTAGGTCCACCATATCAGACGTAGTGACAATGTTTGGCAGCAGAGAGATTGCAGTCCTCTCGAGTCCTAAAGCTAGAACCAACCGTTTTTTTTTCTTTTTCGCTTTGGTGAGGAGAGGGATTTCTGATTCATCTTCTTCTACAATTAAACCAGAAGAAATAAACCTGCAATGTAACAGCAGCTCTGCAGATTCTGCTTAGTGCATGGTGAAGAACCCAATTGAGATTTGGCTGCATTCCAGTTTGCTATGCAGGTCCAATTCCAAACAACTAACGATATTAGCTTTTCTCTGTCAAATATCAGTGGAATTTGTATGAAGTATCAAGAAGAATTTCACACGATAATGTCCCTCAGGGGGCCAAAAAATATAAAGAGCGAGGAACTATCACTGCTCCGAAAGGGGGAAAAAGCCATCACACCTTGTTGAATCCGTGCTCTCTCGTGAAACAGAGTCCACTATTTGAGTAAGTGGATATTTATTTATTGCTTATTTTTATTATTTGCAGAAAAGAAGACTGTCCATTCAAATTTTATTGGTAACTCTTGCATGTTTTGATTATTCATTATTTTAAAGAAAGAATTGTAGAAATTATAGGGAAAACCGTGTATTCAGAGAGATTCTCGTTTCAAATTCTACAAAAATTTGTTGACCGAGAATGTTGAGAATCTTAGCAATTACTAGCCTGTACTAGTGACAGAATTAAAAAGTGAGTTTACAGTTTAAGAAAGGAAAAACAAGTTAACTATAGCTAGGTCTCTGATAATTTTTTAAGGGAAAATTTGAACAAAGGACCTTAAAAAAATAATATTTACTCAAAAAGATATTAAAAACTTTAATTATTTAGAAGGACTAAAATTTAAAATATAAATCTAAAAGTACAAAATTGTCCCCGATGCAAACACCATGATTTCTTTCACTTGCGCATTTTTGGAATTTCCCTTCAGTTTCATGCGCACGAGGAAGAAAGAGACAATGAACTACAAGCTTTAAGCTTTCCTTCTTTAATGGTGATCAGCGATCTTTTCTGAATCAAATCACTTCCAATAAAACCACCCTTACCTTACACATATGCACCAACAGAATTGGGTCATGATCACTATCTCAACACCAGCAATGGCGTCTCTCACCCTCAGCAAGTCAACAGTCCATAGCTTCATACTTAATTATGGAAATATTGCATTGGAAATTTCTCACTGGATGTGTAAGCAGTGTGCTCTAGTAATGTTCACAGACAATGCTTTGCCCGTTGCAATCCTTTGATGATTAAGTTACGAAAGATTGCGTTGTAATGAGTTAACAAAATAGGAGGGACGGAGGAGAACGGGAAGAATGAAGGATATTAAATTTATATTTTAATATCTGGTCCCTCCAAATAATTATATTTTTTATGATCATTCTTAATAAATATTACTTTTATTAGCTTTTTGGCTCTAATTTTCCCTTCTTTAAAAAATAAGTTATTAATACTGAATTAATAAAAACTGCAAATTCAGGAGGCTTAATTATTAATAGTGCATTTAACTTTTAAATGTAATATATTTTCAATTTTTAATTAGAATTTTTGCTTGTATTGTCAAGACACATACAACTTATTTGTTTAAAAAAATTTAAACAATCTGATAAACCTATATTTTTACCAAGGTATTTTATATTTTTAAGGGGTTTTTTTCAACTAAAATGAACTAGATTGCAGTTGTTAGGATTAATTTAAATTGGAGATTGATTTTATCAAAATAGAAGATTAATTTAAATTGGAGATTGATTTTATCAAAATAGAACAAAAAGAGTATTTTTGTCATACTTTTCATATTACAATTTGTTAAATTATTTTGTAGGTTATTCTGGGAAATTTAAAATGAATAATGAGGAATTTCAAGGATTGCAATGATAAAAATAGGCTACGTGAAATGAATAAAAAAGAATGATAAGAGCTATACATGCTTAATCAATACAAACATCATAAACACCACTAAATATTTCACAATGAATTTATGCCTTGCAGTGATACTTTTGCCACTCAATAAGACTAAAAAAAATGCCTTATTTCTTTTTTTTCCCCTCTTCTCACATGCATAAGATTTTTTTTTCATTTTCGTTTTTTTGCTATTTTTTATTTTTTATTTTTCTTGCTTTTTTTTTCCGAACTGGCATTCCAACCCATTTATAAAAATAGCAGCAACATCCCAATATATAACAAGGCATCTGTGTGTTAAGATGCTACTTTTCTGGTCTTTAATATAAAACCCATTTAACTAATTTGATTAGATTAAAAAAGTTAGGTAAGTTAGTTAATTATAAGAAATGTGACACATTTTTTCTAAAACACCATAATTATCTTTCTTAATACCTCCTCTCCCTCTTTTACTTGATTATAGTTGAGAGAATTTCTATAGGGGTAATTTAGAGAAAATTGATAAATATGACAAATAGGTTTTATATTTAGGACCAAAACCAACTCAACAATTAGTTCCTATATTAAGGACCGGAGGAGTATGAAAATATAATTAAGATGCATATGTATTGTTATTTGCTCAAAATAAGAATAAAAAGAAAGTGAAAACTCAAAAGGAGTTCACAAAGGATGTAGAAGATAATGGTTTGTATTTGGAAAAAATAGGAATATGAATAAGAATGCCTCAACCATCATCATATAATCACAATGCAATTAAACTAAGAATTTAAACAAGTTTTTCATAATGAAAAACTAAGTAAATGATTACACAAGGAACAAGATTTAGGCTCAAACATCTTCCAACAAGGTTTACTCCCTCAAGCTTACTCATTTTGATAAATTGGATACCAAACTAATCACAAAACATTAATGAAACTATTTAAATTACTAGTTGTAAGAGTATAATAAATCAAAGCATTATATTAAATCATAAGTAAGCATAACTCCTAATTAAAATAGTAAAAACCATTTTCTCTTTTTTCAAAATATAAAGTAGCAAAAATCTAAATACGGGTATAATAAACAACAAAATTATTAAAATAAGCAGCAAAAATAGCAGGACTCAATATAATAACAATCCAAGTGTCTCTAATTTAATATTTTGAGATGTTGAATGGCATAAAAGCGTCAAATTATTTTCTTTGTTTGGGGAGTGGAGCATGTGGAACTTCCATTAGTCATCACCGAAATAGGACAAGCAAAAATGAAGGCGCAACACTAAAAAAGCGCCGACCACAAAAAGCAACGTGCAGAACAGGAAAGCAAACCGAGAAGAGGGAAAGACAAAACAAGCCAACCAATGCCATTTCAGTATTGACCATGCCCAGTTCTCCACAAACTTCTGCGGTTGAAAGATTTACTTATGAGAGATTTTACTTAGGGGAAATCACAAATAAAGACCCTCGAATTAGCAAAATCACTCTATGGTCACCTGAATAAGTCAAATTACCATGAGGGACCCGGTCTCAAATTGCAATTAGCAAATCACACCTAAAAGACTAAAATACCCTTCAATTACTCAGATTCAATAACGAAGGCAGACATTAGTGAGAGACCTCTTCTTTCCTTCTCCTCGGACTTCCTCTCCCTCTCTTCTTCTTTCTCTTTCTTCCTTGGGTCGAAGCAGCATCTGCGTTGGGTCTCCTCCATGGCGAATGGTCTCATGAGGGGCAAAGAGAGCTTTCGAACTCCTTGCGTAGGATATCAGCAGGGAGAAGAGAGGAAGGTGGTCGGTGACGGAGGAATGGAAGATTTGGGACGATTTTCTGCAATTCTGAAACAAGGAGTGATTACGAACTTTTTGTTGAATAATGGCGATCAACCTTATGGATCGTTTTCTCTGTTAGCAAAGAAGAAGAAGGCTGAGTTCTTTAAGTTGTTGATAGAAGCTACAGGGTTCGCTGGTTTGAATATTTTAAAGATTTTGAAGATGATCTAGTTGAATACTGTCTTCTTTTTGTTTACTTGTATCAGGGAATCGATAATCTTCTCATTTGATTTAGAGTTGCTGGTTGCTGTCAAAACACCTCTGGTTTTTTGTTATTTGACTTACTATTGTTGTAATTTTACTTAGTAGTGTTGTAACTACAGATTGGTTAGTTTGATCACAATAACATGGCGTGACAATCTAAAAATGTCGGTATTTTGTTTATGGGCAGAGCAATGTTAACATTTAGTATTTATAGTTGTAAATGGTATCAATGTAGATCCATTTAATGTTCTGAAATTCATGACAGACCTCCTCATTGACTTATAATTTCACTTACCACAGTTATTATTTGGCTTTCTACTCTTGTTAATTAATTTTCATAACTTGTCATTCGTCTTACTCAACTTGTCATAAATTACATATCAGAACTTGTCACCTGCTAAAGAAATCTGAAAATGTTGTCATTGGAAAAGAGAAAATTAATTTTTTATGAATTGCTTATCAGAAGTTGTCATTCGTCTTACTATACTTGTCATTCGTCTTACTCAACTTGTCACTCGCCAAAGAAATCTGGAAGTAAACGTGTTGAAGGGAATGTAACGATCACCATTGTTGTGATGATAGAAATGCAGTAACAGAAACAGAATTTGTTACATTACATCCACATTGGTGGACATTTTGAAGCAAGTGATGAAGGAGAAGTTAAATATATTGGAGGGAATGTAATAATCACTATTGTTGTAATTTTGCATGCTAGTGTTGTTAATGCAGACTTTTAACTATTATGACAACAATGCAATGATAGAAACATATGACAATCTGATAATTAGAGTCTTTTTATATTGTACAGAGGAATGTTAACATTTTTTGTTAATCATTTCTATATTGTAACAATATAGAGCTATTTAATGTTGTCCACTTAATTAGAAACGTGGTGACAGAAATACAACGACAGAAACACAAAAATTCTATCATTTGCCTTATTGAACTTGTCATCTACTAAAGAAATCTAAAAATTCTATCATTTGAACAAAAAAATTAAATTTGTATAAAATGCTTATTAGAAGTTGTCATTTACCTTACTAAAATTGTTATTTGCCTAACTAAACTTGTCATAAATTGCTTATCAGAACTTGTCATCTGCTAAATAAATCTAGAAATTGTCACTTGAAAAGAGAAAATTAAATTCATATGAAATGCTTATCAGAAGTTGTCATTCGTCTTACTAAACTTGTCATTTGCAAAGGAATTGTACAAATTGTCATTTTAACGTAGAATCTTAAATTCCTATGAGTTGCTTATCAGAAGTTGTCATATACCTTACTAAACATCCTTGGCAAATGACAAGTTCAGTAAGACGAATGACAAATTTAGTAAGAAAAATGACAACTTATGATAAGCAATTCATAAAAATTTAATTTTCTCTTTTCAAATGACAGAATTTTCATATTTCTTTAGCAGATAACAAGTTCTGATATGTAATTTATGACAAGTTAAGTAAGGCGGATGACAAGTTGTGAAAATCAATTGACAAGAGTGGAAAGCCAAATAACAACTGTGGTAAGTGAAATTATAAGTTAGTGAGGAGGTTTGTCATGAATTTCAGAACATTAAATGGATCTATATTAATACCATTTACAACTATAAATACTAAATGTTAATATTGCTCTACCCATAAACAAAATACCAACATTTTTAGATTGTCATGCCATGTTATTGTGATCAAACTAACCAATCTGTGGTTACAACACTATTAAGTAAAATTATAACAATAGTAAGTCAAATGACAAAAAACCAGAGGTGTTTTGACAGCAACCAAAAACTCTAATCGAATGAGGAAATTATCGATTCCCACGTACAAGTAAACAAAAAGAAGACAGTATTCTTGACAATCGAACAACACTATATCAAAAACATCTCTGGAAATGAAAGTCGAAAGTCATCAACTAGCATTAATGATGGGTCACCATTTTTTTTGTAATAAAGATTGGTGGGAATGGCTACAACCTTAATCATATTGATGAATGCAAAGGTAGGAGATGAATGTTTTTGAGAGGGAGAGGAATAGAAGGAAGAAGAGAGGGAGGGAGATGAAGAGGGAGAGAATGACGAAGACAGAGGGAAAGAAAAGAAGGAAAGAGAAAGAGATGGGGTGATGGAAGAAAGAGAATAAGGGCACTTTTGTCTTTTTAGCCTGATTTCATAATTACAATTTGAGACCAGGTCCCTCATGGTAATTGGCATATTCAGGTGACTATAGAGTGATTTTGCTAATTCGAGGGTCTTTATTTGTGATTTCCCCTTTTACTTATTGAAAGAAATCCAAGTCCCCTTTCTTTGGACCAGCAATATTTTTTCATCATATACGAGTTCATTTATTAAATCATAATTTGGTAGGATTACGCAATTTGTCAGTACCTGTTCCCATCACTAAAATTTTATCCCCAACTTAAAGAGAACTAGCTTCCTTTTCCCTTCGTCTACCTTTTTCTCAACATTCGGACAGAGCTCTCCCACCGCAGCTACCCCAGGGCATTCAATCATCTATGGATATGCACCAAAAAGAGAGAGAGAGAAGAAAGAAAAGGATCATAATGAGATTCATCGTCAAACGTCAAGTAATATGAGAACTGTTGCGGTGGTTCTCTTCTCCTTCACAAACTGGTTGCTGTGCTTTTCTCAGCTCCATTTGGCTCTTGATACTTTAAAGCCTGGAGAAAAGGTTACAGGCAATGAAACCCTTGTTTCAAATGGAGGCAAATTCGAACTGGGTTTCTTTTCCCCTCGACAAGATGCAAGCAAGTACTTGGGAATATGGTACCACGGGTTACAGCCACGAACAGTGGTATGGGTTGCAAACGGAGACCACCCAGTTCCAGACTCCACTGCATTTTTTCAAATTGCAGACGATGGAAATCTAATAGTATCAGACATCAACGGAAAAAGCTACTGGTCTTCGGGACTAAAAGTATCTTCGTCCTTAAATCGTACAGTGAAAGTCATGGCTTCAGGAAACCTGGTACTGTTAGATAACCAGGTGAGTATAAATAATCTCTGGCAGAGCTTTGAACATCCAACCGACACATTTCTACCATTCATGAAAATGAATAAAAACATAAAGTTGACATCCTGGAGAAGGTTTGATGACCCAGCATCGGGGAAATTCAGCTTTCAGCTTGCTCAAACAGGGGACAACAGCTATATCATTTGGAAAGACCGAGTCTAACTTCAGTGGCAAACTTCTGACGCAATGCCCTCGACAATATCGAACTTGCTGACCAACTTCACTTTCAGGCAGAGCCCGCAGTTGAAGAATAACTTCTCGAGGCTGCCTAAGTTGAATAATAACGTCATGAATTATACGAAACTGGAAGCCGCATATAATCTTACGAGGCTAGTCATGAATTACACAGGGAAGATCGAATTTCAGAGGTACGATATTACGTTTGGAACTGGATGGTCTGTGGGATATGGTGAACCATCTGGACCGTGTAAGATACACGACGCTTGCGGGACCTTTAGTAGCTGCAATGATCAGAATCTCCCTCCTTGCAAGTGTTTGCCCGGATTTCATCCCAAGTCACTGCCGGATAATTCCTCTGGAGAACGGTTTAACGGGTGTTTCGGGAAAACAGCATCGTGCGAAAGAAAAGACATTGCGTTCTTAAACTTAACGAACGTTGAAATTGGAAGCTCGGACACGCCAGTTGATGTAGAAAGCGAAGAAGAATGCCAATCTAAATGCCTCAACAAGTGCCCTCAATGCCAGGCTTATTCATATAATACTAAAATGTCGGATCGGAATCCTCCGGCTTGTTTGATCTGGACTCGGAACTTACCCACTCTCAAAGAACATTCCCCTCAAAGTGGCATTTCTCTTTCTGTCCGGTTACTGATTTCAGACATAGGTCAGATTTATTTATTTATTTATTTATTTGTTTTCGGGCTAAAAAAAGGATATATGTAGCATGCATCATGCTTAATTTCATAATTGTGATTGAAAAACTAATGTTATCATCACTGCATTCTTCGAATTCCGTTAAATACCAAAATTTGAAGATGTTTACGTGAACTTTTTGGGGGGTGGGGAGGATTTGTAAACTAATATCAATATATTTGTTTTTTCCTCCTAATTTTTGTTTCCTTTTTCCAAAAGGTGCTTGATTTACGAACACCAAAACTAAAATAAAGTGCACTTGTGTAGCATCAAATGCCAGGACCTGTGAACCTTGCGGCACAACAGTAGTTCCATATCCACTAAGCACAGGGCCAAATTGTGGAGATCCTTTGTCCTTCGAGCTAAACTGTGACAATTCAACAGGCGAGGTTAGCTTCACGATGCCTGGACTTGGACCAAATCGTGTGGCTAAAATAAATTCAGATGAACGGAAGTTGATTATCCAAATTCAAGGTCCATACATCTGTGATGATAAAGAGAACCAAAGAGTTCAGCTTGATTCACCGTTTAGTGTAACCAACTGGTGCTTTGGTCAAGATAAAATTGAGGTTAGTTGGCTTGCACCATTAGAACCTCTCTGTCATAACTCCTCAGACTGCAACGATTGGCCACATTCAACCTGCAATAGTGATTCAAAAGATGGAAAACGAAGGTGCATTTGTAATAAAAACTATTACTGGAACAACTCAACTCTAAATTGCACCACCATGTCACAAGAGTCGTCTGGAAGAAAAAAACCACTCACTCTAATTCTTGTAGTAACTATATTAACTGTGGCTTTCGTGGCATGCATGGTTGTTTTTGCCTATCTATGGAAAAGGAAAATGGCCCATAAGGAAGGTAATACTTCTAGTCACGCATTATGAATTTCTTACACACTCTTTTTCTTCAAGCAACAGAAGCTATACTATCACTCTTACTATTACTCAGACAGGGGAAGAGTTCGGAGAATCCGAGGGATGTATGACAGCGAAAGAGAAGTGAAAGATTTGATAGACTTGGAAGAACTAGAAAGAGATAATGAAGGCATTGAGGTACCATATTATGATTTTGAAACTATACTGACAGCAACGGATAACTTTCCAGATGCTAACAGGCTTGGGCGGGGAGGTTATGGCCCTGTTTATAAGGTAATAGTCTCATCTTACATGTCAATTTCACTTTGCCCGATGGTTTATTTACACGTTCTTTTTTCTTTAGGGTATATTGCCAGGGGAGCACTATATTGCAGTAAAGAGGCTTTCAAATGTTTCGTCACAAGGTTTGAAGGAATTCAAGAATGAGGTTGTTTTGATATCCAAACTACAGCATCGAAACCTTGTCAGACTTCGAGGCTATTGCATTACTAAAGATGATAAAATCTTAGTTTATGAATACTTGCCAAACAAGAGCTTGGACACATTTTTGTTCTGTCAGTTTTTAGATGCATTAATTAATTTTTAATTGTGATTGGATATGGGGTTGCTGTAGGGTCCAGTAATATTCTATGCTCATCTGAGGATAGCATTATACTTATCTTTAATATAAAACATCTAAATTAGATTTACAGCATTGATATTATATTCCCTCCACTCTTATATATAAGCTTCACTTTTAAATAAGGATCTGGTCCAAAATATAAACTTCATTTTTGAGTTTGTTTAAGTATTTATTACTTTTTTTTTTCCTATTTTACCCTTAGTTGACTATATTTAGTACTCCTTTTCTCTCATTAATATTACCTCCATATATTATCTTTCATTATTTTTTTCATTCATTGCTTCTCTCATTTACTCTCTTAATAAATAAGAGTAAATTTGGAAAAGAAAAATAAATTTTTGACTTGTTTATTATTTTTAACTAATTTTAACTGTTAATTCGTTAAACATAATTCGGTTAATTGAAGCTTATATATAAGATTGGAGGAAGTATATTTTATTCAAATTTTGATTTTTTTTTTTAAAAATAGAACGAAAAATGATCTTCCAGCAACTACCTTAAAAAGAATAATGTTTTTAGATGTAAAAATATAAAAATATAACCAAATTTAACTTGTGTGAGAAAGATGAGCATAGTTCTCATCTCTGCAGATATATCTTCACTGAAATTCCCATCTTCATAAATGAACAGTGAATTCAAATTCTTTTAATACTTTCTACGCATCACATAGATCTAAAGAAAATGAAATTATTATCGCAGATCCTACAAAGAGTCTGATTTTAGTTGGCATATGCGGTTTGACATAATTCTTGGAGTTGCTCGAGGAATACTATATATTCACCAAGATTCTAGATTGAGAGTGATTCATAGAGACTTAAAAACAAGTAATATTCTTCTTGATGAGGAGATGAAACCAAAAATTTCAAACTTCGGTATGGCTAAAATATTTGGAAACAAAGAAATTGTGGCCAACACTGAAAGAATAGTTGGAACTTAGTAAGTTCGAGATATCTATTTGATTACTATGAAATTGACTCTTAACTTCATTTATAAAAAAAAAAAAGTAACATTTTTTATCTTCTTATTTCATAGTGGGTATATGTGTCACACCTTACTTATACAGTACCTTAGCAGTCATTTAGAATCATTCCAAATCACTTTGGATGGTCTTAAACTTGAAAATTTCAATTTGGACGTTAATTTTCGAAAAATTACTGTTCACTGTCTAGTTTTCAGATTACAGGTCCAACTTTGAAAAATCATAACTAATTCTAGAAAAATCGTATGGAGGTGTTCCAAAATTCTACGGAAAGCTCTTTCAATTCTCTTTAAGGGAAAAATATTCAACTAAACTCATCCTCATTGAAAACGTACAGTTTATTAGATTAAGATTACTATTCGTTTGGTAAAATCTGGACTCTCCAGATTCTGCGCCTTAACTTTGAAAACTCATATCTCTTTGTATACACATCCAAATGAGGTGATTTACCACTCATTTTGAAGATTGGGATGTGCACTATAAGTCTGCCAAATCTCATGATTTGACTCATTCATTTGATAGGTCAAACTGAAGATCAAAACTAACTGCTTCAGGACCTACGTTTTATCCTTTAATATCTCCTTACTTTAATTCTTTTTATTTCTTTGACATACATAGCATGGGCTTAATCTTTCTCATTCATACTCATATACTTTCATTCATGCCATAAACATCCTAAGCATATACATTGAAGTAATGGCATTCATAACATAATTTACAGCATAGGAGAATTATACATTGAATAATAATATCAATCATTAGCATTAATAATTCTCCACTTCTTCTCCTTGCTTCTCATGCCATTAGTGCCCATCATTGATTGACCTAAATGGTTGGTTAGGGAGGGGGTGAGATTCGGGGGAATCTTAGTAGCAAACAATACCATATTAATCATGCTAAATGGATGCTCATGCACTACACGCAACTTGTTTATTCTCTTGTTAATTAGTGACATACTAGCATGCTCAAAGCTAACTTCTTGATGCATGGCCATGGAGACATAATCTACTCATCATGAATAGCAATTACAGCAGCTAAAACATGTCACAATAACATTCAATAACATGTACACGGCAACACACAAGCATACAACATCAAGCAATGACAATAGGTAAGTTCACTACCTTGCACCTCAAGCCTTCCTCTTACTTTTCCTTTGACTCCCTTGACTTTCCAACCATGTTAACTTTTGGTCAGCTCATCAAACATTCTCTTGGATGTTCCAAAGGTCCTAAACATAGTCATAATGATCATACAATCTATTAGGACCATTAGATTACATAAAGTTCAAAGCTAGCTCTCTTGAACCTCAACCCTTTCTCTTAGTCTTAGGGTTTTCTTTCTAGCTTTTCTAACATAAATCTCATCATTTCCAATCCTTATGATTCATTTCTTGTCAATTAGAACCACTTTAGATGGCTTTAGATTCAAGAATATCAAATCTAGAAATTTTGGTTCGCGGGTACTATTCATGCAGAATCTCCAGAATTTTTGATCAACTTTCAAAATTCATAATTAAATCTATAAACATCCAAATTGAGTGCTTCCAAGTCTCACTGAAAGCTAATTAAGTTAAATTTAAGGGAAAAATAGTTTCAGGAACCAATTCTACGCTGAGCAGCACCGGAATTGTACGGAACTCGACACTCTTCTAAAAGTTCAACACTGTTTCCAGATTTCAAATACTAACTTTGAAAAATCACCATAAATCGTACACATATCCAAATGAAGTGTTCTATCTATGGATTTAAAGCTCACAGAGTGTACCTTAAGCATACCAAATTTCAGAATCAGATACATACAGTAACTAATTCGAAATAGGTATCAAATCAGATGCTACAACCACCACATACCTTGATCTTGAAGCTTGAACTTTGTTCCTTCTTCTTGGCCTTCACCCCTACGTTTTTCTCTCTAAATTTTGGCAGAGTTTCCCCTCTTAAACTCATGTTGGCTGAAAATATGAAGGGGAAGAGGCTCTATTTATAGCCAAAAAAGTTGGCTTGAATGGACCAAAATGCCCTTGGTGGCTAATAGAAAGGGTAAGGGCAAGTTTGGAAGTTCAAGTGGACTTTTGCATCATCATTGCATCATCTTATTACATCATGCTTACCTCAACCTTCTAGAAGATGCCAAGTGTCATGAAAGTGGTGGAGAAAATGGGAGATTAGATCCTAACCGTTGGATCAAACTTGTTTCATAAGCTTCCTCCGAATTTACTTGGCCCACGTTTCTTCGGCTTTCTTTATGGCCTTTCGGAGCTCAAAAAATTGTTCTGTCTGCTTTATAAATTTTCTTTAATTCTAAAGAATATCTATGAATTTTCTTAGGCCATAACACTTCCTTTAAACCTTGCATAAAAATTCATTTACCAAAATGCCCTTTTATCGGCAAAACCGGCTCTTTAATTTATTAAAGCCACTCCACTGGCCATTTGGTTACGGGACTAATTTTATAAATTAGTACAACCTTTCAACCATTTAACCTCATTTTCGTATACATTTTTGAGGTCTCTTGCTATTTTAAATAATTACCTCACATGGTATACTTTTTACCGGTAATAACCTCATAAATTCCGTTGAAGCTGCCTCAGGGGTATTTTCATCTTTTCTCTTCATAGAAGAGCCTTAGAATATTATTTCCCATTTTCTAGGATTTTCTTAGAATTTTCTGTACCCTCTTCCACTTTTACCCCTGTTGGTCATAACTTTCAGAATTTACAGTTTAGTCCCTGGTTGGACTTAACTTCATATATTCCTCTCTTTGAGGCTTCTAACTCAACCTTTGGCCTATATCTAGTCTCTTTTCTCTCTCTGGGCCTTCGAGACTTTACTGGAGCATCTAACTTTATTACACTTTAGCCCCTTAAAACTTTTACTTTGCAGTTTAGTCCCTGAAACTGCTTTAACTTCCTTTTTCATCTTTGGGACTTCTGCTCACAGGGGTCTGGTAACCTATTTAATTTAGGCTATTTCTAAAACTTCTAGGCCTAAAAGTCTGGATGTTACAATATGGCTCCAGAGTATGCATTAGATGGATTACTTTCAATCAAATCAGATGCTTTTAGTTTTAGTGTGGTGGTGCTTGAAATTATCTGTGAAAAAAAGAACACAGGATTCTTTCAATCCAAACAAGCTTCCAGCCTCCTGGCTATGTAAGTTTCATCTTGCTCCTCTATTAGCTTATTGTTCTTGCACATTATGGTGATCCACTGTTTATGTGAATGAATATGCAGGCATGGAGGCTATGGGCGGAGAATAAGCCGTTGGATTTAATGGATCCATCTTTGAGTGAAAGCTGCGATGCAAATCAATTCGTTAGGTGTGCGCAAGTTAGTTTGTTGTGTCTACAAGACGATCCAGAAGACAGGCCCACACTGTCGCAAGTATTGATAATGCTTGAAGGCAACACTGCAAGCCTCCCAAATCCAAAGCAGCCTACCTTTTTTATGACAAAAGACAGAGGCCTTTCTAGCTATGCTTCTTCTTCCAGTAAACTTGAATCCAGTAAGCTTGAAGGAATTCTTCCAATTGATAGTACCTATCGTGAAGGTCGATAGTGCCTGATAAGTTCTGTAAATGATAAATTCTACTGGATAGTGCCTGATATATACTACCGCGAAGGCTTGTCGGAAACAACACTCAATTCTAAGGGAGCCATGGACTATTGGTTGTGTGTTCTTATAAGAAAATGTCTATTTGAATCAGCATAAATACCATATCAGCTGTACATTCTGCGTTTGGCTCTTCTTATCATTTTTTCCTTTTTGGTCTTTTAACACCATCAATGTTATATTCTTCAGTGGCTGCTTTGACCATCAAACTCCCTTTTTTTTTTTTTTTGGTCCAATCAAACTCCCTAATTTGATAATCACTTCGCCTGAAAACAAGTAGTTTCACTTGTACCTTCACTCACTCGGTTAATACTGTTTCACTGTCACAAGCATTAAGCTATTAAAAACGAAATTGGATCAATGTTCACCACCTTCAACTGCGCTCCTACGCTTCTAGTTTTTTGACAATAAATGTGGATATATGAAGGAAAGATTCCATTTTGAAACATTTTCTGATGTATTTTGGTCCTGCCCATACGTAGTTGTTGTCAAATGTTGTATCAGGCATGGAGAGGACAGAAAATAAGGCGGTCGATTTAGTGGATGAGACCAGTCTGTGAAAGAAACTTGTAATGATATAAATCAAGTTATTAGGTGTACGCACGTTTGACTCTTGTGTGGGCAAATTGAGGCCAGTGGCAGACCTACCATGTCAAAAGTTGTAATAATTCTTGACAAGCGACGGTGACATTGCAGACTTGCCTAGTCCTACAGACCCAACATTTTTTTTTTGAATTTGTGAGGAGAGAATTCCTGATTCATCCTCTTCAAGTGAACCAGGATCAAACCTGCAATATGAGATTAGCTCTTCAGATGCCCCATTGTGCATGATGAAGAACCTAGCTGAGATTTGCCGCATTCCAACTTTGCTATGTGGCAATAACGAACCGCATTAGTGTTTTAGTGTCAAGAGGGATTTGTGATAGGGAGATGTGAATAATTGAAGCCTGTTTTTCTGTAGCATGGCAGGGTCCTCTGGATTTTTTTAATAATCCGCTAAAAGGATAGCCTAAGACTTTGCATGATAGTATCACTGAAAAAAAAAAAAGGAATACAGAGAAAAGTGAAGAATTTAGCCATTTTGTAGGACCATAATATGAGTGAACTTAAATCAACATGAGAAGTCCTAGATTATATATAAAATAAATAAAATAAAAGAATATGTAAACTAACCTTAAAATTTGAAGCATGATGTAACGTTTTCTACCTCTTATCGCTCCTTTGGTTTCTAGTGCTTCATCAATCACCAAGCATGATGGCATGCCTTTCCATTGTGTTGAAAAATGCATGCTTTTTCTAGGGATTGTGACAACCAATTTCCATGGTGCGTGGAAGGCATATTCATCAAATGGGCGCTGGCTTCGAGTTCATCACAAACCATTAAAAAGTCCAAATTTACAGCAATAAAAAGTCTCAATTCAGCCTTCTGAACAGAAACGTCGGCATTGATTTTTTTTTTTTTGGTGAAAAAAGGGGGCTCCAGCCCATCTTATTACTTCAATATCTTTCCTGGGAAGGCAATTCCCACCAAATATTATTACGTCGGCATTGATTTTATTGCGTTGAAACTTGATAGAATCCTATTTTGTACGCTTTATTGTTTTCCACAGGATTGGAAAACATAACACAGATGGAGATTGAAAGATCGGTCATACATTGGGAAGAGGTCGACCACTTTGACTATTTACTGTCTGGTTGTTCACCACTAGGCATGGGCTTTTGCCACTATCTGTCACTAATAATGCAGCATATTCTGGTATCGTTCTCTTTTTCCACATTTTATTCTTTGCCCTTTGTTCTTTCCGCCGCTACATAATATTCTTTGCCTCGAATCCCCAAGATGTACAATCTTGACAAGAAGTTTGCCTGCCTTTAGGTTGATTTGAAGGTGTTTCTAAAATGCTCGCGTGGCAGTTACAACCATTTCAGTCCTCCTCATGCTGCTCAATGCTCACCAAATATTGTCGTCTAAAAATGGAAACTTTTTCTTTTTTTGTGGATTTTATGATGACTCATGGTTCCTGGGTTGAATTTTTTATATCATCCATTAAAATTGCTATGCGGGCTCAGGTTTCTTTTTACTTGTAGAATTAATATGCTTCTACGGTGCTTGATTCTCAGTTATTTGATATTGTGCCTAGTCCTCCTCGTTGCCTTCAATGCTTTCATCTGAACGCCTTACGTGACAGTGACAGTTGAAAGCGCCATTTTACTAACGATATGTCATCACTGCATTGGCCTTTATTCCATTTAATAATGTGACTAGTGGAAATGATTCGGACAACTCTTTACCTTCCATTTTGCTAAGCTGTAAAACATATCATATCTTTCTAGTGGAAGTAGAAACCAAGCTTCAGCTAACAGAAATATGAGGATCTAGCAGAAAATCCTTAGGGTGACAGTGTTTGTATGGATTCAATATCCGAAGACTTGTGAATCAGTTGGCCACACATGCATAATTTAAGAGGTTTATGTAATAATATCCACTAGTTGCAGTTATCTCTCGTCTAATCAAAAGTTTATGATAGCAAACAGAAGTTTGTCAGGAGACTAACCAGACAAAAAATGTCATGAAATGTCAAAAGTGACCCAGTGTGGTGCCTTTGCTCGAGACTTGAGCTGTGTCGGCTGGCCAAGTTAAATAGGACTGATCTCGTGACAATTGCACTATGATTGAAAAATAACAAGGCTGACTACTAAGTGCTAAACATCTGGGCGAGATTTGGGATCTCTGCTTAAAGTGCTTCTAGATACAAATCCAAGACGTATATCTTCCATCTTGGTGGATATTGTCCTATAGTACTTTATTGATTGGTTCTATGTTATATTTCTATTGGCGGATCATTTCTGCGTTCTTGAGAGAAGATTGCAAGTCAACCCATGTGGGGCGACAAAGGCGGGGTAGTGAACACTGGACCAGGGAAGGCCTGACTTCATTTTTCACTTTGAACAGAACAATATTTACTACAGTCTATCAACTTATGCTTGTATCTTTCAAACATCGTCAAGAAAATGATACCCTTGGAGAAATCATTATTAGGAGGAACTTGGATAAAAACTCTCATTTAATTGGTTTAGAGACCCTAGGGTAAGACAAGAGGGTCGAAATAGATCTCACATGATTGCACGAAATAGTAAACGACTTGACAACAACAATTTAAAATTGGATGCAAAACTAATTGTATAAGATGCTTCATTATTATAAGAGTTAACTATGAATGAACAATATTATTCTTTTTATCAAACAATGTTCCTTGACTGTTGCCCATAATTTTATTCCAAAATCTTGGAAAGAGTTTAAACCAGTTTAAAGTCTTAGCCTGCTATGGCATGCCGTGTCTCGAGCTCCGAGAGCTCTCTATTTTAAGAACCTGGAGGGCCATTGATCCTAAAATAACTCAACCATGTCACAGTAAATGTTCAGTGTTCCCCGCAAGATGAGCAAACTTAATACTCGAGTAGGTAGCATATGACAAGTCTCTCACGCACACTTCACACGCTTGAATTTAAGAAAATTCATGATTTTTTTTTTTCAAGCTTGGCCCTAGCGTTTTTTGGACTTTTGGGGTTGGCCTCAATTGTCTGCTTTAGGTTAAGTTTATTTGAAAAGTTTTTGCAACTTTATTCATAGGATTGGATGACTATTTTCTTTCCTTTCTTGACTTCTTTTCAACGGAAGGGTAATTGGGCGGCCTGGGCTTGGTCTGTTTGCATCATGAAGAGGCATGCACATTAACCACAGCTTTGACGGCTATTCATGGAATATTATTTAATTATTGCGTCATATAAGCGGTAAGCCAAGAGTCATATAATGCTTGATTAAAAGATAACCCCGCTCAATATCTTTAAAATCTCAAACAGGATGAAGAATAAAGCAACCCTAAGGGGACCCATATAAAGAAAGATACAATTGACAAAATATAATGGAGTGATGTTGACATCACTACTCAGCTTGCCTTTTCCATCAATTATTTCATTTTGGTCTCTGGCCACGATACACCAATCACACCACGAATTACTATAGCGTGGCACTAGCAGATAAAACGGCGGCGGACTTTCTGCTTCCCTGTGACTGGTTATGCTCACGAGGAACCCACCGATATTTGGCCTAAAATGGTTTTGTGCGAACTGATAATGGATGGATAAGACCATGTAATACTGGTTCAACTTCAAGCAATTAATTACATATGACGTGGTTTGGGACGCTTATTATTTCATATGGCCCTAAATATGACAGTTAGTTGAACTAGCTGTAGATATTTATGCATATCATGCATATTTGATTAGAATGCATCATTTCACCTAGCGTGTGGTTTGGACAATTTTTTTTTTTTTTTAATGTCACATTGAGTGAATTTTAAAAACATCCGACCCAAATATGCGTCAACTGCTCAACCAGTGAAGTCCTAAAGCATACTATTGTCCGCTAACAAAACTTTACTAAAGTGAGATTCTTCTATTATGACATGCATAAAGAGGGTTTCCAGAGACAGGAAGGTTCCTTGTTTCAATTAAGAGGGTAGCCCTGTGAAAATTGGATGATCAGTCATCACTGCACATAGTACTTGAGAAAGGAAAGTTAAGAGTTTTGCTGTCTGTCCTATGAGAAACACAAGGAGAAAGATCAGAAGGAAGATAATGCTCAACCGGTCTGCAAATCACATGCTGCCAGTATTCTTTTTGCATGCATTGTTTTTCACTTGTATGCATTGCTCTGCTAGGGATGTCATAAGCACTGACAATTTCTTAAGTGATAGGGAAGGGGACTCTCTTATTTCTGCCGGGGAAAGATTTGAACTAGGATTCTTCACCCCTAATGGAAGCTTTGGTGGTGGAAGATATGTGGGAATATGGTACTACAAGTCAAATCCACCCACAGTTGTGTGGGTTGCTAACCGAGAGAATCCACTTTCTGAAGCTGGGGGTGTTCTGGCCATAGCTGAGGATGGCAATCTCAGAGTTTTGGATGGAAGTGGGAGACATTACTGGGGTACAAATCTTGAAATGTCATCTTCAGCGCACAGGACAGCTAAGCTAATGGATAGTGGAAATCTTATTATAAGCGATGAAGAAAAAGGAAGTCACTCGGTGAAGATTGTATGGCAGAGTTTTGCAGCTCCAACAGATACATTTCTCCCCGGCATGAAAATGGATGAAAATTTGGTTCTAACTTCATGGAGAAGTTATGATGATCCGGCGCCCGGGAACTTCTCATTTCGCCAAGATCAAGGAGAGAACCAATATATCATATGGAAAAGATCTATCAGGTATTGGAAAAGCAGTACGACAGGTACATTTTTTGGGTCAGGTGAAATGTCTTCCGTAATATCTTACTTATTGTCGAATTTCACCCAGAGAATATCTCCAAATAACTCTGTTCCCTTTCTTACTTCATCTCTGTATGGCGACACAAGGCTGGTTATGACTTACTCTGGTCAGCTTCAGTATTTGAAGATGGATTCACAGAAAGTTTGGTCCTTGGTGTGGGCAGAACCACGAGATAGATGCAGCGTGTATAATGCTTGTGGTAACTTCGGCAGCTGCAATAGTAAGTATGATTTTATGTGCAAGTGTTTACCTGGGTTCACGCCTAACTCTCCCGAAGGCTGGGATTCCGGTGACTTCTCAGGTGGGTGCAGAAGGAAAACAAATGTGTGCAGAGAGAACGCTGAGAGTGACAGGTTTTTGAGTTTAAAAATGATGAAAGTAGGGAGCCCGGATGCTCAATTTAATGCCAAGAATGAAATGGAATGCAAGTTAGAATGCCTTAACAATTGCCAATGCTATGCATATTCATATCAAGATCCTAAAATCACAAGGGGGGCCGCTAGTGGTGACGCAGTGTGCTGGATTTGGACTGAAGACTTGAACAATCTTCAAGAGGAGTATGAGAATGGATGTGATCTCAATGTACGCGTAGCATATTTTGACATAGGTATAATTTTTCTTTACCCCCCTCTTAAATTCTTTGCTGTGTAACTGACTCTTAATTTGAAGGCACGCGTTAGGGAAGGTTAGCTGATGATTGGAAATAATTGTTTCTATTTTCTAAAGCGCCGGAGTTCTCTTTCTGCAGCATCCAATTGCAGGACCTGTAGGACTTGTGGTACAAACTTCATTCCATATCCACTTAGCACAGGACCACGTTGTGGCGATCCCATGTACTTAAGTTTTCACTGTAACTTCACTACAGGAGAACTTACCTTTGAAAGTCCTGGGGGCACTTATCAAGTGATAAGCATAACCCCTGAAACGCAAAAATTCATGATCCACAGCAGAGACATAAGTGATTGTGAGGGTCAAAGTTTGAGGGACAAGCTTCTGCGTCTAAACCAGTCATCTCCATTTCATCTAACTGGCAGGTGCAATGCTGACCCAAGCACCCTTAATCCAATTGCTCCTGCGAAACTTGGTGGGGAAATAGAAATGAGCTGGGATCCACCATTGGAGCCACTTTGTCGTTCTTTTTCAGACTGTAAGGACTGGCCAAATTCAATTTGCAATGCTTCCACAGATGGGCAAAAGAGATGTCTTTGCAAAACAAACTTTCTTTGGGATGGCTTGAGTTTAAATTGTACCATTGGTAAGGACTTGGTGAATTAAAGAATGCTTTTACTTTGTAATTTAGCTGCTTAATATTACCTGTGAGGAAGATCAGTTCTACAGGAATACGTACCCTGTCTCACTGACTTTAACAGTTAGTGAGTGAGTTTCAGCTCTGTTCCCATTTCAAAATGCTGTCAGTATTGTCACAGCATGATTCCAAATCTGGATTCAATTCAGCACCAGAACCCAAATTAAATTTGAACAAGTTTGTGTTATAAATTCATCGTTAGGAAATAAAAATAATTTTCTACGTTTCTGTATGTAATTAGTGCATTTCAACTTTTGCAGAAGGCAGCCGTCGCGGTAAAACAGGCAGGCGTTTGTCTGTTCCTTTGATTATTGCAGTCATTTTCACTATTGTGATTGTGTTAATTCTTCTTTCAAGTACCGTCACCTGTGTTTACATTTGGAGGAGAAGGATGATCAAGACAAAAGGTAAATTCAATTCCTCTTAATCTCTAGGGGAAGTTGTTATGCGGTAATAATAATAAGTACTAGTGTTATGATGGTTAGAAGTTCCTAGTGTAAGTTGAAGGCCAGGGGACCTATATATACCCTCATCTGTACTCTGATATACTTATGCAATGAAAAAGTGTCATTCCTTTACTATTACGATTCTCCATATTTAAAAGTTGATTCAACAACATTTCTATGTGACTAAAATATACAGTTCATCTGTTTAACTTCAGAAATCAGGAGATATGTCAAGAAAAATTCAACGAGGAGCCTGTATGACAGTGAGAGATATGTCAAAGATTTGATTGAATCGGGTAGGTTCAAAGAAGATGACGGACATGCCATAGATATCCCAAATTTTCATTTGGAAAGCATACTTGATGCTACCAATAACTTTTCAAATGCAAACAAGCTTGGACAGGGAGGATTTGGTCCTGTCTACAAGGTAATGAAAGTTTTTCTCAAATAACCTTTGATTTTCCATATTTAACGCATTGTTGACGGGAAAGGACCATGTTCGATAAAATGTCAGGGAAAGTTTCCAGGAGGACAAGAGATGGCAGTAAAGAGACTTTCGAGTTGCTCTGGGCAAGGTTTAGAAGAGTTCAAAAATGAAGTTGTATTGATTGCCAAGCTTCAACATCGAAACTTGGTTAGGCTTCTCGGTTATTGTGTTGAAGGAGATGAAAAGATGTTAGTGTATGAATATATGCCAAATAGGAGTCTAGATTTTTTCATATTTGGTAAGAGTACTTCACACATTATTTTTCCTTTTTTGTAAACTTACCTTTCATATTTGGAAATTCTTGTCGGACAAGCACTAACACGGAGCCATGCTCTCAATTTTACTGTGATATCCAAGATAGGAAGTCATGTGTTTTATTAGATTGGGGCAAGCGTTTCAAGATTATTTTGGGAATTGCCCGAGGGCTTCTTTACCTTCATCAAGACTCAAGGCTAAGAATCATTCATAGAGACTTGAAGACAAGCAATATTCTACTCGATAAAGAGATGAACCCTAAAATCTCAGATTTTGGTTTAGCTAGGATCTTCGGAGGAAAAGAAACAGCAACAAACACGAATAGAGTAGTTGGAACTTAGTAAGTTTCATGAAAATGCATAATTTTGTGTCATTTTAGTAGATTGTAGCAGTAGTTCCTTCTACTTCACAAATGGTAGCAGCCATCAGCTGAATTTGGTCCAACTAATATATGTACACACTTCTTCCTTTTTCTTTTTCTTTTTTTATGCAGTGGCTATATGTCTCCAGAATATGCACTAGATGGATTTTTTTCAGTCAAGTCTGATGTGTTTAGCTTTGGCGTGGTTGTACTCGAGATTCTTAGCGGAAAAAGGAACATGGGATTTTACCAGGCAGATCATGAATTGAGTCTTTTAGGCTATGTGAGTATACCGAGTTTTCATATACTCTCCTTCCCTCCTTAGTTTGTCTGATGGCTCTTTAATGCCACAAGTGGAACTGGTGCTGCAACTAAATATAAAATTAGAATGAGACGCAATGAACAACGTTAGTTGCCACACAAACAATGCTGAAATTCTATAACCTATCACATGATTGGTTAATGATGATATAACCCTCCTGTCAGCTGCTGCATGCAAAATTTTCCTGTGTTCTTAAACCATCGCATTATAACTGCAAGACCAAAGCAAGGCATGCAAACTTAGACAAGAATCATTATGAAGCATGTGTCAGGTCCAACTTTTTATTTTTTTGGGTCGTCTTTACAGCTATCACTGCAATATTAAAGCAAATGGGGTGTTGATGGAGAGAAAACCCAGAGTATTTTGCATATTTTGGCCTCACAGTAGAGGTATTATATAATTGTACTTTTTTTTGGGGGGGGGGGGGGGCTCCTCTGTTCAACTGACAGTATTAGGTTGTTGTTTTTCTGAGTTCTTGTAAGTTGAAACACATAGAGGCTTTTTTCCCCTTTTCCTATCCTTCTTGTTGCAGGGATCTTGTTTCCTTTTTTGGACTTTAAAGTTGAAACACTTCAAAATAGTGGTGCGATTCAGAAGATTCAACTTAGCTGAAGTCATTCAAATGTGTCAATCTCAACTTACAGACATGAGCAAAAGCGATTGACTTCTACAAATGAAGTTAGATATAAAGATAACAAGAACTTTTTTGGTTAAAGTTTTCTCAGTTACTTGTTACATTTAATTGAAGGGAATGTTTGGTTTAATACAAAGGTAGCTTCACCAGTAACACCAAAAAAAGCCACAGTTGGTAAAATTTCGGCTACAAGGAGGTCAAATTTTGCTCAATCCATCACTGAGCAAGCTCTCTCACTCTAATTGAATTCTCAGTTGTGTCGCTATAGATGGATTCTTCCCAGATAATAACAAATTTCAATTTATACTTGAATTTCAGGCGTGGCATTTGTGGAAAGTAGAGAGAGCACCGGATTTTATGGATCAGACACTATCTCAGACATACAAGACAGATGAATATTTGAAGTGTGTAAATGTTGGACTGTTGTGCGTACAAGAAGATCCAAGTGACCGTCCCACCATGTCCAGTGTAGTTTTCATGCTTGGAAGTGATTCCAATACCCTTCCAACTCCCAAGCAGCCAGCCTTTGTTGCTAGAAGATGCCCTTCTAGCAGAGCCTCTACTACCAGTAAAGTGGAATCTTGTTCACATAATGAATTGACTGTCACTTTAGAAAACGGTAGGTAGCTTATCTATTCTAGTCGTTGTTTCCAGAATTACTGCAAGGCTCTGTTTGAAGCATCGATTGCTTTTAATTGTTTTCAAGGGAATCCTGTATTGATAGTCTTCCAAATGTAATGTTGATGGTCTTCTATTCCATCCTTCTATGTGGATATCTAATCCAAGGATGAGATTTGATGACTGAAGAAAATGAACATAATTTGAATTTTACCTCTTGATAAAATGTTTGACCGGAGGTCTCATTGTTGAAAATTTCAATATTACCTCGCAGATCATCTCTTCTTCTTTATTCATGCGCAACTTCCATGTTAGTGACGCCCTTGTGTTCCAGCTACATATGATTTTCTAATTTCTACACCAAATGTATCTTTTTTCTGGCCCCTTTCACTGTCATTTGCCTGTATTTAGGATGGTTTTGACCAAGCTGAATCAGGTAATCACTCATGAATTTCCAGTCTGAATTCGATTGGAAGCCATGAAATTGTCATAATGCTCCGGGGCATGTGATGGAAGGTCTCAATCAATTTGTCCCACAAGGTTTTGACCCATTTCATGTCTCTTTCTTCAGAGCTGTAATTACATTGGCTTCGTCGTCCGCAGTTTTGACCTTGTAAAATGGTGAGACGGTGCTATTTGGTCAACCATTTATGGGATTTTGCAGTGACCGAGACGTGGATGATTGATCTCAAAAGAATTACTCAGCTAAAAACCCTATTAATTTAATCGCTTCATGTGCCAACAGTTTAAGAGTGTGAAATAAACATTAAAAGATAAGGTTGCAAAGATAAATGCGATGTCAACTATTAAACTCCTATCTTGATCCCTGATGAATCTCGTGGACATTATCTGTTATTCTTCACATAGAGGCAATTACTATTAAGTGGGACTCTCAAGAACATACCACTCTCTTTAAAACCTTATTGTGCAATAAGTTGAACTAATCATTGTCGGTGCCTTGTAGCCTAACTGATATTATTCCAATGCTAAATATAAGATCCATTTTGTAGTGTAAATTACACTATAAATGGGTTTATATTTAAGATCGGAGGAGTACTAAACATTTCCTTCAAGACTTTTTAAACTTGAAATTATGAATTTGAACTCAATATAGAATATATAATGAAGGTGCGAGCCATGGAAAGGGGGAAAAAAGAAGACATGAAGCTTATTAAGTATACACAACACAGACTTGGTTAAATTCTTGAAAAGCAGAAACAAGCATTTGTTAAAGATTGAAGTAAGATCTGTCGGGCATCAACACTTGATAAAGTGTGAAGTTCATTCGCACATTGTTCTTTTAATCAAGAAGATATGGTATCATAAAATATCATTAGTTCCGTTGGTCTGCTGCTGTTATCCAGATGCCACACAAAATTATTATTTAATAATTGAGGATCCCAGATTTGGATGTGGATGTTTCCTCCATGACCCACATATGGAAGAACAGGGCATCTTCTTGTCTACGCTTCAGAGAAACCCTTCTCAAATGCTTTATTTGCAGCAATTGTAATGCTTAGGATAAAAGGTTTAACAACGTGATGTGAACACTTGTGGGCATCTAGTCTGAAAGTGGCCTATAAATGTAGAAGCCTGAGCTTCCCCGCATTGGGTCACCCTCCTTCGTCTCTTTTATGTGTCGAGTTACGATAGGTGCAGGGGAAGGCGCATGCCTTCACATATGGGAATGTGATGTGGACCATTGGATTCATATTGCACAAGTCACATTGTTTTTAATAATTTTAGAGAATAAATGGGAGGACACAATATTTTAACTCAAAACCTTAAAATTTAAATTTGTTAGTCTTTACTTTAACTCAAAACCTTAAAATGTAAATTTATTAGTCTTTCCGATTTATTATACTGCTATTTATTAAAATCAATTTTATTCATCATGGGATTTCCCACGCCAAATTCGGTCGACTCAGATTTGAACAACCGAACATTATATGTTGGGTTGAACAGGCAGTTGAGGGAAAGTTGGTGGGTGTTTCCAGTAGAGAAGAAATTTGCCATTTCCCTCCTGACTAAGCATATGACAATTCCTTAACGACATCCTTTGGTTTCCCAATGAATGTTCGCGTACACGCGTACACACGCACCCATCGCCATTCCCCCCCACGCAAACACAATTCTGTCAAGTAATTTTAACATCAGAGCCCTTTTAGTCTTTCTTTCTTCTTCTTTTTTTCCAATTAAATTCTTATTTCAAATTGATCAGTCTAAAATTATCCTTCTATAAATCAACTGTGTTATTTATTATTTATGAGCAGTGCAAATTATGAATTAGAATTAAAAGTTAGAAAATAAAATTTCAGTAATAAAAGGAAATAAACAATAAGACCCGTAAAACCATTCTTTGACTTGCCAAAAAAATTCTTTGACTACTTTGTTTGTTTCAGTCTTAATAGCTCAAAGTCAACTATCACAGACACGGGGTATACATGGCATGCAACCTCCATGGAACTTTTGAATTTTCCATCCTATCCCCTTTTGTAGACATGTGAATGGATGAGCAATAACACTTCGTCTCAGTTTATTTATAAAATATAAATAAATTAAATCACTGCTCATCAATAAATATTATACCCACTCCATTTCATGAAATCTTTTCTATTCCTGCATTTAGTTATGGTGATTTTAATTTTCTTAACTTAATTATTGTCATAAATTACTGTTATTTTTTGCCAAGGGAAAAAGTAAAACAATTACGTGAGCTTTTGTAGGAAGCCTGAGCCTGACAAACTTCTCGGAAGGAGGGAGGCAATTGCTGTCATGTGTGACGAATACGAATCAAAAAGACTGTCATCAGCTAATAAATAAATTTGCGTTCATCCACACCTGCTTTTCATTCCCTCCTTCCTTGAAATCCTTCCTTAGATCCCTTTTTCCCATACCTTGTTCCCTATATATATACACGACTCACCACCTTCCTGGCCTTCAACAGACGCACACAAGTTTCTGCATATTATTCGTATAACACTTTGCAGAGAGCATCGTCATCAATGGCGGGGAAGATTGGGTTTGAAGACTTGCTGCCTGTTATGGCTAATAAACTTGGAGGAGAAGGTCTGATAAAAGAGCTGTGCAATGGGTTTGAGTTGCTGATGGACAAAGACAAAGGGGTGATCACTTTGGATAGCTTGAGGAGGAACTCTGCTCTTCTGGGTCTGCAGGACTTGAAGGAAGATGAACTTGTGAGCATGATGAAGGAAGGCGATCTCGACGGCGATGGTGCTCTGTCTCAGATGGAGTTCTGCGTTCTCATGTTCAGATTAAGCCCCGATTTGATGGCTCACTCTTGGGCTTTGCTCCAACAGGATCTCCAACATGAACTCGATCACCTCGCTTCCAAATGATTCTTCATTCCTTGATTTTCTTGTTTCCCAGTTTCGTCTACATTGTTACCAGAGTTCTTTCTGATCATTGTGAATTATGATATGAAAATATGATTTATACTCCGATCTTCAGCCTCAATCATTATTCATATTTGAGAAAATTAACATGTCAGTCCTTGTAGTTTTTCCTGATTTTTAATCAGGTGGTGTCTTCTTTTTATTGTTCATCATACTTTCTAATTTATCACAAAAAAGGATTGGTTTCTCACGAAGGGACATGAAATTTGCTGCCAGAAGGCAACTCCATACATACAGGGTATGAACAGAACACAGCTGTAGAACAGTTCATGAATCTTGCGTAGGATGAGAAGCATAATTCTTAGTGAACGGAGTTCAAAGCAAGTGGGCTCGGAACTTTCGCAGAAACACTATTCGTTGGTTTCTTGTAATTGTTTGACCCGTTTGTTGTTATTAGTTTTGAGATCGAAATAGCTCTTGGCCGACCAGTCAAATCACAGACGCTTATAACCTCTTATTTTATATTATTTATCAGGGGAAAAAAATTGAAGTTCAAGTGTTCAACTCATCCAATTGCATACAGATTTTATACTAATATTTCATTCAGCATCGTGGCGGTGAAAAGAAAATCATTTTCAATCATTTTAAAAGTTGATAATTTGAGGGGAAGTCCTATTAATTTATTCTTGAAATACTATTTGCCTGCAAAAAAAAATTGTTGGAATATTTATGTTGATCACTTTGGAATCAGTAGGTTATAATTCTTGCGCAAACGGGAAACTTTCAAAGCGCTGATGGGCATTTGAAACCGATTTAATAAATTAGGTCAGCCGAATTCTTCTTTGCTGGGTACAATAATCAAATACTTTAAAGTTCTAGTCCAAGTTGTGGTCTAAATATGGGTTGCGGACCAAGTTAGCTCAGTTGCCCTGTTCTTGAGAGCATGAGGCCCAAAATTGTATTTTATAATGTGTGTTTTTGTATTAATGAATTTTTATATTTATATTTTTAAAAAAATTGTAACTTTTAATAGTTATTATTTTATATTTTTATAGGCCCTGATTTACATTTTTTTATAAAAAGAAAAAAAATGTACCATATCATATGGTTATCGCATTTCTTTTTTGAAATTTTGGTTTGACTTTGATACGGAAGTGCGTTGCAACCCCATGCCTGCATCAGAACCTTCTGAAACGGGCCTTGGCTCCTATCGCTTTCCATCACCTTCGAAGGTAAGAGTGAAGAGAAAGCACCAGAAAGCAAATACGGGGTTTTCTGAGGTAGCAAGAGAAACATCAAATGGGGGGAATGGATAGGCAAATACAGGTCTTTCTGAGGAAGCTGTCATGGGCTTGCATCACCGTCGCTTCCTTCACCCTTCTCCTTCTCTTCCTCCAAACCCCTGAAACCTGTGTTCCTCCAGACGCACCCCCCAAGCCTCACCTCCGATTCCCCAAATCTTCCTGCGATTTCTCCCCTCGTGTCTACCTTCCTATCGACAAGAAGAACAAACGCCTCTGGTCCTCCAGAGAATGGCTAAAGAAGGTTGATTCCTATGTTAAATTCTTCAAATCCGTTCAAGATCTGGGTCTTCTCCAGAAGAATTCCAGAGCTCTCTGTGTTTCCGCCGGAGCTGGACACGAGGTCATGGCTCTGACCAATATGGGGGTGCTCGATGTTACCGGAGTCGAATTGATCGAATCGCCGCCACTGGTGAGTCGGGCTGATCCGCATAACTTGCCCTTCTTTAACGATTCGTTTGATTTCGCTTTCAGTGCCCATTTTGCCGAGGCATTGTTTCCCTCGCGATTTGCGTCGGAGATGGAAAGGACAGTTGAGGCCGGGGGAGTGTGTGTGCTTGTTGTGGAGGAATGTGGGGATGATGAGGTGAAGGAGATTGCTGGATTGTTTAGGAATTCAAGATTTATTAGCTCTAATAATGTTTCTCTGATTGGATTAAAATGGACAAGCATTATTATGAAAACAAGAAATTCTCAATGACTAGTGGTCAGATTTTTTGCTGTGTAAGTACTCTAGATTTCATTTGTTGGTTCCCTCTGTAAATTCTGTGATGCTTCAAATTGAATATAGCGCTCCTTCATTTGGTAATACTGTTGTTCCAGCAGTTAACATGCATTAGATTATTTGATCTCACATTTCAAAGCTGTACTAAAAGCGATTGTATATTGTATGTACTCTACGCTTGCCTACAACTAGATCTAGATGGCTTGTTATGTTAGATCGGGTTGTGTGTCTAATTTACTTTGTCAATTATTGGGACTTGTAAGATCTCAGCTTTTTCCCAATTGGATCTTGGGTGTCGTCGTGGCTGACTGCTGGAGATGTATTTGTGTTCCGGTGATCGTGAGCATGATGTGTTACGCACACACGTCCCTGTCAAAGCAAAAGAACTGAAATGTTTTAGCTTCATTGGTTGAATTTAAAAGAAGTCATTATGAATAAGTGCCATAACTAATTAACTATGCAGATTAGAGCCGCCGAGATGGGGAACTACAACTCGAAGGTGGTTCATAAGTCCCATAACTTATTTTCTCTTGATGAATATTGTAAATTCTTTAAATTGATCCCTGATGTTTGTTATGTTTGACCATGTGAATTTCCAAGGTTGATGTTTTCCATTATTCAAGATGATTTCTTATGTGTTGGTGAGTAGATAATGTTTAATGGCGCTTGTTCTTTCTATCGATTTATTTTCAACACAGCAATAATACCTGTGCCTTGTGGAATTAGAATAAGTTCAAGAAGAAAGCAGATATTGGTATTTGTTTTTCTGAAAAAATAAAGTAACAGTTGTTAAATTCGGACAAAATGGTGGTTAGCAAGTGGTGGAATCATCTTCCTTAAGCAGCCTAACTCCGCAGTTTTCACTTGAATGTGGATATTTCCATTACAGCCAATCTCCATTTCATCCCCGAGTCAAGCTTCCTTCTGGGGGAATAGAATCTCCTGTTTGACTGTTTCTTTAACTGAGGCATTCTTTTACTGTTTTTTTTTCCTTTTAACAAGGTAATGATTCGATTTATTTGCTCTCACTATTGTTTGTCATATAAACCCATAATGTTGGTCGTAGTTGATAGTCAGCACGTGGTTTGATATTTGATGTGTCAACTCTAAAGCATTGTCAAGTTTCCACTTTTCAACTTTTAGCCGAACGTCGTGCGGTTTTGAGCCCCACGGTTTTGAGAATTGAGATATCAGATTCAGACGGGCCATCCTGTTTTCCTCATGTACTCAGAAATGCTTAGACTTGCTCTTTCAAATTAGTGGTAATTTTAATTACTTTTGGCTGTCTTGGTTCTGGAAGGAAGTATGTTGGGTGAAAATAAAAACTTAGCCCTGAAAATTTTCACTCTCATTCTTAAAATTAGTAACCATGACTAGGGGTGAAAAGTTCTTGTAGAAATATGCTCTGGCAACATCCTTTGTGGGAGACTGGGAGCCAACGAAATTGAAGCTTAATGCTCAATCATGACTAAAATCTTTAGAGTTCGACTCTTATTCTTCAAGTCTCGTGACAGTTTTAAGACAAAAAACGATTAAAAAGTTTAAAACAAAACGAAACAAAAAGATTTTAAGAAAAATACTTGACGGAAAGCACAAGCTTGCCGTGTTGCAGAAAACTATAGACGAGTCTTCAACTAGATTTGGTATATTCGCCATATCCCTCTTTTTATGTTTTTTAAAAAAAGTACAGGAAAAAGGAGTATTGAAGAAAAAAATCAAAAGGAACCGGGGAGTAAGAAAAAGTTAAGAGGAACAGAGAGCTCCAATCTGGTTTTCATATTCACAATATACTGATAAAATAATCATCGCAATCGCACTTACAATGTAACTACAATCTTAATCTTTCTGTTTCACTTTTCTAGATGAAATGGAAAAGATTCAGAAATGAACATTCAGTAATTAGGATCCCTTTTCCTAGTGACTCGAATGTAGCAAAAAACAGCAGCAAAAATAGCAGTAACAAGACCGCCTATTATCACACCACCTCCCGCCACAGACTTGTCAGTGGAATGATGCTTCCCAAGCCTTCTATACTCAGGAGCTTCCGCTACTTCATACTCTGACGAAACCCTACTCCCAGAAAGTGGCTGAGCTGCTACTTCGTGATCGTTCTTCTCATGTGGCTGAACTCGTGTCTGGGTTTCAAGCTGCAATGGCTTCAGATCTGCTAAGGATTGAAGTACCAACATCTGAGCCAGCAGAAGAAAAACCAAACCAAGCTTGGCCATTCTGAACAAAAGGCAATATATCTGATGCAGCAAGTGAGGGTGTTCAGGGTTTTAGAGAAAGAGTCAGCGTTAAGAAAACAGAGGCTGATATTCTAATGAGCTTAGGCGGCAGGGGTCCAAGGAATTTATAGGTAGAAGGGGAATGGAGTGGGATCCTTTTTTAATTTTCGGTGGTTGAACGTGTGGCTCGAAACGCAAGTGTAGGTTCATAAGCTATTATTTAATTGTTGTGCGTGCATATGGATGGGTCCCATCCATAATAAGAGATGTATCTCACGGCAGAGGAGTGTAAGTTTGGTTTTAGGATTATTAAGGTTGCTGTCTGTCCCAGCCTTACAATTCAGTTCAAGCAGGTCTTTACAATTCAGCTTTGGGACAGCTCACTTGATATCGTCTGCATCAAAGAATTAAAGCCGAAACAGTAAACAACCAATGGAAGGTATCAGTTCATGTCAACGAGTTTTAAGTTTAACATTAGCAAAAAAAAATCTTTTTTGACACCTACACGTCTAAAGTGCGAGTTTGAGTATTCCGAGGCTTGATCTTATAGTGGGTATTTTGGGTTGGAATAAGAGATGCGATTATGAA